TATGATTCAATTCGTTCGCATTACAGAGCGCCTTGAGATATGTGGATAATATATTCAGTGACTCGTTACTTCGATTCCTCGCAGCATCCACCGCAACCTCGAATCGCGAATACATCGCTGAATCGAGGCACATTCGTAGTGAAGATAAATAACTTTATTCGTCATACGTCACAAATGCAATTTAATAACGCTGTGTCTCATCCTTTTTCAATCGACGCAATTATTATCACGACAGAGATGACATTCGCGATCCATGTGCATGTATTTCGTAAAAAATTTGATACGATTGAACATTACTCGTTAAAAATTGTCGAAAGTCAAGAAACTCGAGCATCCATGATTGTGTCATCTATAATAAAGTAAAGATTATCAGCAGATAAGGCAACGACATACTTCTCATAAATATATTTACAACAATGATAACCGGTTCGAAGTTCGCTCGATAGAATGAGCAAACGTTCGAGGCTAATCACGAACCGATTGTTCAAGCATAATTATTAAAACAGTCCGTGTTTTCTGTTAAGTGAGCCAGAATTAAACAAGAAGCATCTTGTAACGTGAGCAGCCGATGTTATTCTGCGACGTGGAAAATCACAATCGCATGTCTTGTCTCCAACTTTTATACGATAATCTCGGCCGTGCAAACGTATGAATCTTTCTTATAATAGCGTTTTTTAATAGATTTATAACTCATGCAACTGATACTCTTCAAATCATATATAATCTAGAAATTGCAGACTGAGTGAATAAAAAGTAGAACACTTTGCGAAAAAATCTTGGCATACATTTACGTCGATGGACGTTAGAAGCCGTTAAAAGGTCGACTGGAGCATTTAATTAGCACTCGAACGATGATTAAAAATGAGATGATGATATAGTTATGAATTAAAAAATAAAGTGAAGAAAGCGAAATTTTTCTCGAAATTTCGCGCGGATTTGGAAAAATTAAATATCGAATGAGCGGGATAAAATACGGTTAAATATTTAAAATCATTCTTAGTTTACTGCGGAAAAAGAACATTCGCAATTACTCGCGCGTATCCGAATCCTGCGCACGTCTGCCACGGCATCAGCATTCACGAGACCTACGGCGGGTTTCCGTTGTCTCGATCGCCTATGAGAGGATCCGCGCAATTTCTCCCGAGGAGAAAGCCCGAACCTATATAAATATATCGCCGCACATACGTGATGCACGGTCCAGCTCTCTCGCACGTTGGCATCACGTGTCGGCGAACAGGATATCGAAACTGTAATTCGCGCGTTGCAGCGCGCGAGATATTGATTAACACGCAATTGTCTAGCTAAACTTGTGTCGTCTCTTTTGCAAATTGCCGCGTCACCTGATCAACGTAACTAAGCGTATAAATATACACGAAATGTGCAATCCGTGTTGAAGGTGCTCGCGGACGTCGTTGAGACATATATAATAGATTCATTATCGTTATGCTGTGAAGAAAAAGACAAGGTTGCGGAGAAGAATTTATACATCTTGAGGAGAACAAATATAACGTACAGCCGATACAAGAGGAAGATGAAGAGATATACTTCAAAGAGTTACAAAAATAACTCCACTTATACGTTAAACGTCGACGACTTCTCTAATTTCAAACAGAATAATTTAAGAGATTGCTTCTGACCAGCGGATAACTTTCCTGTCGGTCATTGGATCGTACGAGCGCAACTTTCGATGACGTAAAGACGATTTGTGTGATTAACACTATACATAAAGTATTATCAGTCTCGTGTCGCAACTGCACGTATTTTGATCTGTTGAATACGCCACTGTAATTTTGGTATCGGATCTTTTACTAACAGAGGTGAAGCATCACACCACTTCCGAGATATCTACTCGTAGATAGGACAATCTGTATAAACTAATTGCTCCCAAATTACACCAATTCCAATGAATAGCGTGCCTTTCGTCTTTTTCCTTCTTCCTTTGCATCCGATACACATCTTTGAGAAGGTTTACATTAACATTATGCAAATTACATCCAAGTTTACTAACAGATGATTAAAATTACTAATAGAAATTATTTGTGAGAGTAATCATAAATAGTATGATGTACAATATATTGATGATGGATATCTTTAGGCTTGATAATTTTAATATTATTCAGAAAGACTACGTCAAGCTTATACTCAAAAAACATTTAAATGGATAACTACATATCATGTATATTTTACATACTACGATTACATACTACGTATTTATATATTATGGATATTCTTTTTGATCGGTGAAAATGCAAGTATTGTTACTTAAAACTAACAAAATAATTAAAAGAAAGTAATAGCATTTATTTTTTACTTTATTCATTTAATAATTATCGTCGTATGTTGACAGTGTTTATATTGCACAGGAATACTGTACATGACTGTTAAATTTGCGTCATGCTAATAAATGCAGCGTCACAGCGATCTATATAGAAAAATGTTTGTTAATTTCGGTAATATATATACATATATACATAACTATATTCGACTCACAGGTCAAACTTTAAAAATGTAGATAAAATCGATTATTGCATTTTAAATCAACGTCTTTTATTATATGGCGATATCTAGACAGTCGTCGAACAAAATAAATTATTACGAAGAGAAAAAGAATTGTTATAGATTGAAACAGTATTTAAAACGTAAAAATTGACGATTAAATAAAATTAAAATGTACGTTTTTTATATTAGTATAAAAGTCCAAACAGGAAACATAAAAGATTATTTAAACTAAAAATTTGATTTTACAATCGGCATCTTATAATGGTCTATTAATTATTATAATTATTCGAATTCTCTACTACATAATAATTCTAAAGTCTATTATAAAATAACTTATATTATTTTGCAAAAACTGAAACAATTGTTAGCAATTGCTTTGAGCAATACAAATACATTCGTATATGCAATTCACTGAACGAGCCAGTTTAGCGAACGTTCAAGCAACCAAATGACTCAATGCATCTGCGCCAGACGAACTGATATATTCAGATGCATTCGTATTACACAGTATATTACACAGTTATATATTCCACATGTATGTATATATCAATATAATAATATGTTAAATGGGATAATATTGTTTTTATCGCAACATCTAAAAAATTGAGATGTAATACAAAACGCCAAAAAAAATACGATTTCAATTCAATGTAAGACTATTAAATATTAAAAAATAATGTCTACACTGATGTGCATATGTTAATTTATCACATGACTACCTCAATAGTTGTAAAATGCCTATTGATATGACTATAAGATCTTATCATTTTTGCAGAAATAATAATCTTTACTTTTGCACTAAACAGATTGTGGTTATTTTTATATGCATTATTGTCTAATAAATGTAATCTGTAACACATAACTCTGTTCTCACAAAAAACAAGACTCAAATTTTCCAGAATCTTCTCGTATTTAATCAATTCTGCGTTAATACAAATAGAATAATGACCAAAGAAGAATATAATTAACAATCCATGAAAATTTAATTTTATAATACGTGAGAATGAATCTTTAACTCAAATCAACTATAAAAATCTCTAAGTAGCAACGTACGGATTAATTGAGAAATTGTGTTAAAAATGTGTCGAATTTAGTTCCTTATTCCGATGCAAATTCATGGAGAAAATTAACGATAAACGAAAAATTAGTCATTTACAGAATTTTTCAAGACTTAATAAACTTTTTCCGTTATCTATCAATGACATTGTCCTCTGAATAAGTGTATTCTCGCGAGTTAATTTTATAAACATTATCGTAGCTGAATCTTCAGTTGAAATCATGACATATCCAACTAGCAATGTTCGGGAAGCGCATTAATTCAATTCAATCTGAAAATTAATTGTCAAATAAATTTTCGCCGTATCGAAGCATTTAAGTACTTGCTTCGCACTAAAAATAGCACATGAATCGATTGCGGCAAACTGACTAAACATTGGTTATCAGAAAACTAATTAATCACGAAGCTGCTGATGTTATCATTTGGCACGCGAAGCTCACGCGTACCATTAAAGAACTTTTCTGGAATTTGCTCCTGACAAATCACGGTTTAGTCATCGTGAGATTAGCACACGATATCATGATTATTGACCAATGGTCAAAGTCAATTCGGCTATGGGATAGTTATAAAGTCTCCTAGAGATTACATTTTTGTAGAACGTTATTGCTCTTTCTTTCTCTCTTGCAAGAATGTTCGAGAATATCAATCTTGATGACGTACGTCGATTTTGAGTGACATGTACGTGTATGTATCGTTGCGTGCGTCTGTTTTCATAACTCCGGCGAGGTATTTTCGTATTACGCAACGTGTCATGGAGAGTGGCTTCTCCTTATTCTATTCCTCCGCAGATTACAATCCCAGATTCTGCGATAGTAAAATCGTTGGCATTTGTACGCGTGTCGCAAGCGAAGCTTATTTCTCTTTCTAACAGTATATAAAATGATATTTTCTAATTAATCGACAATTCCTTTTTAGTAATCGTCTATTTATTCTATTGTACATGCATACCGTGTGATATACCGATAATATTTGAAATTAAAATTAAACAATGTTACCGTCCCTTAGAAAGAAGAAAGTATTCTTATGATATCGATAAAACACATTAGTGCATATAGTATGATAAAATGAGATGAATGAGATGATATTTATATTAATAATATTCACTTTAATATTTACACTTTAAAGACTTATCTTAACTAAAACCTAGTATATTAACATGTAATTATTCAGATAATTAAAGCCATAAAAGTCCCTTCCAATAGAGCACGTATATCTCCAAAAATTTAAGTCTCTTTTTTTCGACTTTTACTAAGTAATATAGATCGTTATATAATTATAAAATAACGATTTAGACTTTTTTCGATATGTTACATAGGATTGGACAATAAAAACTTTAAGAAAAATAATAAATTTTTCTGTCTATCGTAACAACCGAGGCGATCGAAAATACGAGAGTAACGGTATCATTTGTATTTTACGAACGGTTACGTTTATCATGTTGCAGTACGGTAGACAAAACATAGAAAACGTGAAGAAGAGGAACGGTACTTGGGACTCGGACGAGGATTTTAACGTAGAAGAGGAATGCGAATCACCGACGATTCCCCTAAAAAATTCAACGGTAACAGCGTCCAAGATGCAAAATGGGTCTCTAGGCAATACCGTTATAGCTAGGTCAAAGGACCTAATTTTAGTGCCCGAACCAGAAGCACAAAATCACAAGAATCACATTAATGAGTCGAAGCTTGAAAACAATTGCGAGGTGTCAACGATCAATAATAAAGAGGTAACATTTATAGAACGTAAAATGTAGAATGTAATACATTTTTGTGGAATATTACATTTAACAAACTGGTCATATAATCTTTTATCTATTATTTATTTTAGGATAGCCTTAGAAAGAATTCCTTCGAGGTACTCAAAACTGGATTTGAACCGGCAAGCTTAGATTACATCAAATCCGGCGTTGAAGCTATTATAGAAGATGAGGTGACATCACGTTTCGAAGCAGAAGAACTTAAGGTACAATAAGTTGACCAATTGAGATGAAGACTGCGATTTTTTTTATCCACCTTCATTTCCATCGTTTTCTTTTTCGTTCTCTTATTTCCTTAATCCTTTAATCCTTCGTTAAAATTCTATCTCTAAAATTTGTATATATTCCTTTCAACTTTATTTTCACATTTATATGATGTGATTACTGACTTATATATATATTGAAAAAATTAATGGATACAAATGACTCATCAATATGTTTTCTTATGTAGAACTGGAATCTGTTAACTCGAACAAACAGATACTACGAATTTATTTCCTGGAAGTTAACTATCATATGGATGTTCGGATTTGTCATGCGTTACTGCTTCCTTCTACCCCTAAGGGTATCCATTTGTTTTATTGGGGTAAGTGCAATACTATTTCGCCTATTATGTTACAACTGGCGTCTTGTAAATAGTAACGATGATAAAATGCAGTGAATAATTTAAAAAACGTGGAAACATCACTATAACGAACAATTTTTCACGTTCGAATCCTGTTACATATTTATCTAGCAGTGCAATGGTGCGTGTAAAAATTAATTCCTTTAGTGAATCTCAACTCATCTGAAATCGTGGATATTAATTTCCTGAAATTATTGAGCATTTTCATATTGCTATTAGATATTTCAGATTTCTGATATATAACGTGTATATCTAACGTCAAACTTTAAAACAATGTACGTCTACTAATATCGAAGCTTCTTAGGTACTGTATCTTGTAATCGTAACCTTTTTAATCGGCTTCCTACCAAATGGCCGCGTAAAACGTTGGGCGAACAACCAAGGCAACCTTATCGCATTCAGGATAATGTCCCGTTCTATATCAAGTTTAATCACAGTGCACAATCCGGAGTATAAACCAAAGAACGGAGGGGTGTGTGTGGTAAATCACACATCCACTCTCGACGTCTGCATCTTATCCACACAAACGACATTCTCTTTGGTAATATATCGTGATTGGGATAATACGCTTACAGACTGAAAGATCAAGCGTTTCATTGTATAGTGATTGTATCCAAATTTGCGTCGTCTTGACTGTGTCCTCGTCTGTCAACTTAATTACCTTTGTCATTGACATTTTAGTATTTGTATGGCATACAGAAATGACGTCGTAACACAACCCCAGAATCATGTAGCGTAAACATTTGCATCACCCAAACCGCGCGATACACGCGGCCTTTTAACGGTCCTTAATGAACAGAAGTACAGCTGACAGTGTCTCTCGTTTTCGTAACGTAACAAAGCGACGTAACTTTAAAACATAATTTAGCCCTCTGAAGTTCACGATCGAGGTCAGATGTCTGTTAGTAGTATTACAGAAGTTGTTGCATTACTGGTAAATGTTACAGGTAACGTGTCCTGTAACTTTGGTTTACAGGTAATATCTACTCAGCAACGATAGGGAGGGAATCCACGTTTCTCAGGTGCAAAGCTTGTGGTTTACAGGTGATGTGGCTGACAGTGTGTACTGCAGTAGTGGGCTACGTTCCCGAGGGTAGCTTCAAGCGGTGGCTGAACTACAAAGTCTCCATAGTGTGCTTTACTTTCTTATCCAGTGCTCTGTCTTCAGTTATCACCTATCACAATCCAGAGAATCGACCTGTCAGAGGCATATGTGTAGCTAATCACACATCTCCTATTGACGTGCTCGTGCTCATGTGTGACAATTGTTATTCCTTGGTATGTTGTTCTCGATATAGTTGAATATTAACTTTTTTCCCAACACGTATCGAATTTGTTTTGTCTGTCGTATATTCTAAGAAAGGCATCTCCAAAACAATGTTATATAATTACACATCTTTTTAGTGTGCTTTAATTATTTTATATTTTTGTTGCTTTCATTGTTATCCTATAGTAGTACAAGACATCCTGGAAATCATACACTTCCCGATAATAGATTCACTTGACCATTTGGTGTCGACAAGAGTCATCCACATCAAAAAGAGATTTATTTTGATTTTGATTGTCAAAGGACAAGATTTTGGTGGCTTTCTTCATTAAATAACTTATATGTTGATATGGAAATATTTTTTATTCTGTCTTTAATGTAACTTTCAGTGTGTGTGTGTGTGTGTGTGTGTGTGTGTGTGTGTGTGTGTGTGTGTGTTACTTGAAAGAAAGATGCATGATTTCTGAATCATTTTACATAATTTTTAAATTCACATCAGCTCGTCTCATTCATGTTCTTTTACTATAGATAGGTCAAAGGCACGGTGGTTTCTTGGGAATATTACAAAGAGCTCTTGCCCGTGCCTCTCCGCACATATGGTTTGAGCGTTCCGAGGTTAAAGATAGGGAAGCAGTGGCGAAAAGGTGCGGTTACTTGTGCGCGATTGCATCATCTTGTTGTGTATTATGTCACGATATATAAGATAGAATTGTTAATACTTGTGCTTGATACAGGCTAAAGCAACATGTATCAGATCTCGCGAACCCACCAATACTCATATTTCCGGAGGGTACATGTATCAATAATACATCGGTTATGCAATTCAAAAAAGGCAGTTTCGAAGTGGACAGCGTGATCTATCCTGTGGCTATAAAGGTAATTTCTCTCCCATCAAAAGAAATGCTTCACACACGGATTTGTTACGTTTCCTTGAAACTTTTCCCCTTCACGTATAGTACGATCCGAGATTCGGGGATGCCTTTTGGAACAGTAGCCGATATTCCATGCTACAATATTTATACATGATGATGTCGAGCTGGGCGATAGTCTGTGATGTGTGGTATCTCCCTCCAATGTACAAGAACGAAGGAGAGAGTGCCATCGATTTTGCGAATCGAGTGAAATCTGTGATAGCGCGGCAAGGTGGCCTTGTTGATTTGCAGTGGTATGTTCGACACTAAGATAGATATTAATAATTATGTTTGGCGAATAATAATAGTCTCTCTTCCATCTTTTTCCTTGTCTCTGTTTCTCATGTCTCTTGTACTCGATGATAGGGACGGTCAACTGAAAAGGATGAAACCGAAGAAGGAATGGAGGGAAAAGCAACAGGAAGAATTCAGTAAACGACTGAAGGTCGAATAAATAGATCCATCGTTTCTAGTCAACTTCACGATGCACATGTTGCGTGATATTATTTGTTTAAATTAGACCATTTCATCCGAATTGGCTATTCTTCACACATTGTTTTCGCATATACCGTTACAAAAGAAATTTATGTCCCCCAGCCTCTGCATCATTTAGCATTTTACATATAGATATTCCCTAGCAAATATAAGAACTCTTGCACTTCTTTACGATGTTTCTCTAAATACAAACATTTAACGAATGTATAATAATTCTAACATAATATTGTGCTGAGTGCTCCACATTTGCACTGCGACTTGTAATGTAATTTTTAAACGCGTATTCCATGGGAATATACGTTTATATCTTCTATCATAAAAAAAAAATCAAGCATTCATCTGGAGAAGTGCAAGGGTTACATTTGCCAATTTTATAATAAGGTTCGATGATCGTACAGGCATTACGAATTTATTATTTATATGCGAAATGTGTAATATGTTAAAGTGTGTGATAGTTTTTTGCATGTATGAGTGTGTATATAGTATTTTGAACATCTCTCCGATTATTCATACATATATAGTAATTATACTCGACGAATAAAAAATTGAATAATTGAGACAGTGCATTAATTTTCCCTTACTGAGGAAAACAGTAAGGGAAAAGATCATCTAATTTCTGCTGTAGAGCTAAAGAAAGAATAAATATTTATTCATTTTTCTGAAGAGGAGACTAAACGCAATGGCAATTCGACATTTCAGATCTATTCTTTAGGAACCATTGTACGCGCGTGTTGCGTTATGTTATTTTTCTATTAAAATGGAATAGTATCTCGATATATTTTCTACTTTTGTATTTTACATATGTAGAATAAACGTGAATTTTAGCGCTCTATATTGCCGTATAGCGATGCATGTCGATATAACAGTTGATATAATAACAAATATAAAATTGACACAAATAAAGACACTAATCTGTATATTAACTGTATCTATGAATTCGATTGAAAAAAACCATATAAGAATATACGCGAAAGAACAGATGTATAAATATCAAAAAAGAGGTATTTTCTCATACTTCCAACCAAAGTTAAATAGCAAGTTTTAACAAGCGCTATTTTACTATTGATGGCATTAATGTAATCGTTAGAATATTACCTGTCATTAACATTGACATAAAGCGTCTATTATGGATTGATGTTATTTGTTATACTTTCATATAATTCGGCCTATTTCTTGTTAATTAGGAGATTAGACATTTATAGCCAATTTCACTAACGTTAATTAATTTTAACCAGTAATTTAAATACATATATATTACCTTTTTCTAGATTATAATCATACTGATTATAATATAATCGGAGATTTAGTTAGTTACAGTTAGTGTCCGCCTTTAGTAAGACCACTTATTAACTAAACGTATCGATGTTCTTATCCGTATTTTTATGGAAGAATATTCAATCTCTTCAGCCATTTTTAAAGCATTTTTCAAGAATTCTTGATAACATGGAGAAAGAATGAATATTAAAATTAAGAATATAAAATATTAATATAATACTGTATTATATAAACGATAAGTTTGGATTAATTAAGTGAATGTATGAATAATGAACTTTTATGAAGAAAGTAAATTACAGAGAACTGAATTACTTCCCAAATTTATCTCTCATAATCATATATATATGTTTGTATGATATATATATATGTTTGTTCATAAAATATATAGATTCATTTTTTGAAAATTTTATAGAGTTAAATTCTTAAATGTCATCATATGCCATTTGTAACATCATTGTAAGATTTCTTTTATAAGAAATAGTAAAATATATTTTTATAGCAGATTATTGTATAGTCAATATGGTGTAAAAGTAATGTAACTATATGTCACTTACATTAAAAAGTAATATCATTCGAAACTCTATGTAAAATCGTTTCGTCGATTTGTTATACAGCATGTATATATTTGTTACACTTGGCTTATGTAGAAGTGTACTGCGTTGTACTTTTAATATTTTGGATGGCACTTATGTTTATACTTAAGGTTTTTTTCTTGATGGATGTAATTATATTAAATAAATCATAATTTGTAAGGAAATGCTGTAATATATATTATATGCAGGAATAAAAAACACGTTTTTTTTTTTCAAACTGCGTTTGAATTTAGATACAAAATGTTACATTGGTCACTAAACACAAAGTAATTAATTATATAATTCGGAAAACGAATGGCACTATATTAAATTCTGTTAATTTTTAGATAATATATATAATCAAAAGTTTTCTATTACATAATAAAATTGACGGTAGAACTAAGAACTGTATTCAGAAGCTCAGATTAAACACATACATATGTACATGTGTGTTTAAATTCTGCAAACAAGTGAACAAGTTCCATGAGTTAAGAATATAAGAATAATAACTTTGAATACAGTTCTTTGTAACATTAATTGTCACCATAAGTAATGAATAATCTTATCGAGTCTCTTATTTTTTCTAGCTTCTTTTTTTATTATCGTGCATAAAATGTAAATATCAATATAGTACACGACATATATTAATTCTTCAGCAATACATATAGTTTTGTAAAACTTTTAATAAATAAAGCACTAATCTCTTTGGTATGTATATGCAATGAGACTCAAGTGACAATAATGAAAAACGCAATAAATAATTTGTATCATTTGTAACATTATAAACAACTATTCCTGATGTTTATAAATTTGTAAAGTTTTTTTGTGTGTAACTGAAAACATGTCTGTCCGAATTAGCACCCTGATCAACCTTATAAAGCACTCCTTATAATCCACTTAAATTTCTATTCTGATTTTATGCTCAATTAAAAAATAATTTGTCATGGTAACATTAATCATACTATGACCGTGTAATCGGCATTGCAAGTAAAATCATTTATTCCGATTTAATTAGAAGATAAATATGCAAAGAATATGCAGTATTGCATGCTGCATATTTACTCGTTGAATATATTTGTAAACAATCAATATTTCTCTTCGTATATAATTTTAATTAAATATTTCGTATATAATGTTTAAAATAAGTTAACATATAAGACTGTAGTCTCATTGTTAACCAGTACCAGTGAACATTAACTTATATAAATTTTTTTTTACTGCTAGATCACAATGGCTTGATAATATTTAGACAGTAACTATCAATAAAATCGCGATAAAAATATAACTACTGATAATTATCTTATAAAAATCGAATCCGTGGAATAAATTAGAATATCATAACAGATGCAAAAAATTAACCATTTTAACTATATTTAACGTATGTCTTTCATATTATTATTATTATTATTATTATTATTATTATTATTATTATTATTGACAACAAATCATTAAAAAATGGCCAGTATAAAATGTAAAAAGTGTCCAAAGTTTTTCCATTATAATTAAAGCTATGTATACGTGTTTCATATCAAAATTTATAAAAATATGCATTTGTCACGAATATATATATCTAAAGCCATATCGAGAGAAAGAAAATTTTTGATGAAAGAACTAATAGACGTTACACCAGAGCATACTATCTTCGTAATTAATATGCAGTAGGCACGTGAAACATAGTGGAACAAATCTTGACACACTTGTCAAAGATTTACTATAACTGAATGTTTGTTGAACGCAAGTTGCACCTTTTATATCCTCGTAAATGTAACCACTATTAGCTGTTTTGTCGTGTTATGAGATCTCTAATTTCTTTTTAAAAAAAAACAAAAAATCTTGCTACGAGTAAAAAGATACGAACAGATACACTGATGTTGTTGAATTTTGCTTCTCGTCGCCGTATTTCACGTCACATGTGCACTGTAAATCATAGAATGCTATTTTGTTTATATTCAAACTAATTTTTGGACTCTTGGTATTATCAATATAATATTGCTCGCTCAGAATAGATAGAATAATACCTTTTGGTCTACAGAGTATACATTAATAGTTCTTGCGTGATAGGGTTAGCTTATATAATCTATTCGTTCATCTTAAGCCGAAAGAAAGGCACAAAGAAAATATACTAGAATGCTAACTCTAGAAAATGGTAACTCTGCTAAGGATCGATATACGAAAATTAACGCAGTCACAAACATGAATGGACGCTTATTTTGTTCACAACTTTCGCGGCAAGATGGACAAGTGAGGCATATACTAAGAAGTTATGCGGTCGATACATCCTCAGCGTTCTCGTCGTTATTGGAGGAAAGCACGATCATCGTATTCAGACTGTAAGCCGGTCTTTTCGGTTTCGGAGGAGGTGTCGGTGGTTTTGAGTGACCGTCTAGGTCATCGGTGGGCGTCGGCAGCTTGTTCTTCGTCCACTGCCCCAACGATTTTAGACTGTTTAAGGCACCTGCCCCGCTTTGCTGAGAGGATAATTCATCCGAAAGATTACCATAATCGGCTTCGCGTGTTTTAATCGGCAGAGGCGGCGGCGGGTCGTCCTCGGACGCTGTGCTGTCGGTCGTGCCGATGCTATCTCTATTTCCCTTTCCCAAACTGCTCAAGTCTAGTCCATTATTCACATTCCTCAAGTAATGTTGCGACTGACCAGACCACCTGTTGCTCACCCTCCGTTCTCTCTCCACTTCCGATCTTAGGGGACGTTTCGGTGTGAGCTGTGTATGAAAGTATTTCGCATGAGCAAAGAAAGGGGACAAAAATCAACGCTCATAAATTATATTCAATACATGCGATACACTTACCTCTTGTCGAAGCTCGAATACAGGTGCTGCGTGGAGACTAGATAGTAACGATGTAATGGACGTCGTCGAACTATGAGATATGTCGGTCGTGTACCACTGGCTAGTCGGTTGATCGGTTTTCGTTACTGTCGCGGTATCACTCTTTCGTGAACTTCTACGCTTTGCGTCCTTCTTTTTATACGTTCCTGGACTCGGACTTCCCAAGGCTTTTTGCAATGAGGCCGTAGACAAGATATGCGAACGTACGGAATTGTTCCTATAGATTAAAAATATTTAAAGGTACAAAATGACTATGATTTGAGAAGATCTCTAATAGAACAAGAACAAGAGAGACCAAAATAAATTCTCAGTGATTGAACGGTACAATTTGTAACGGATAAGCGATAATTTCATAATTAAGCGAGTCAATATGTAATTTACTAAAAATACGTAAAATTTGGGGATTATATGCGTTTGCATTTTTGTTTGTTAAGTTGTGGTAATCAGTATGTGGCAAGAGAGATGTCTAAAGATAATAGAAATATCATTTGAATTTAACATTCGCATCAATAACAAGTGCGTATCTTTAATTACCTATCGTAGTTATTGTAGACTTAGGAAGTTTAGCAGATTGGCAGTTGAAGGAGATACATATTCCAGGAAGATATTTGATGATAGTATAAAAATGCAAAACAGAACCATGCAGAGATGAAAAGCAAGATAAACAGAAGATAGAGAAATACTAATAAACGTGAAAGAATTAATGCATTATTCGTGTACATGTGCGAGAAAATGCATTTTAAAAGTAATATATAATTTCTATAGGAATATGCAAAGGTGTTTAGCACTTAAAACAGCTCTTAGTATCTTACTGTGCGTTTTTACTCCAGATTAAATTTTGTATCTTATATTCGTTATTCTTTCAATGTTAAAGTTTACTATTATTAATCTCTTTTATTATTTATTAGCATATTTTATCTACTCTCGAAATATAGTGACATAAACTAGTGCATACGCGTGTTATATGACATAAGGAGATACGATATCATTTTCGAAATTTGAGAAAATGAAACGAGTGATATATCAATATGATATTTCAAATAAAAGATCTAAAATGTAAATGAAAAAAATATATAAGAGTGCTAAGTGCGAATAAAAGATAATAAGGTATTATTCGAGAGCTTATCAGGTCCAACAGCAATATTCCTGAAATCATATTGTCACTCTTTTCTATTATGTTCTATATAGCATTTTATATCGTTTAATTGTCAATTTTCATAATCATAAGTTCTCAGCAACATATAACGAATGTCAGACAAATACATGCAGATAAGGACTAATAATTATAAAAGTTTTCTCCTTGGGAGATAATCTAAATATTTATGTTACACAAGATTCACACATATAACGCTTTTTTTAATATATACAAAGGTTATTAGCGTTAATCAATAGCGTGTTACAATTAACTTACCTATACCTATATAAATTGAAAATGTGATCGAACTAAGTTAGTTTAGTCTTAACGTTAGCGTTGAAACTAAGCTAAACACTGGTATGGGCATTACCTTGATAAATTGACGGTTTGAGCACCACTCGGGGATGTGGTGTTGTTAAAATTGAATGATGCAAGCGACTTGAACGTTGCAACTTGGGATCTTGTAAGTGAGGATACCCTAGAGTGAATTTGATAGCTGAACGGGATAATTATATGGTAGTGGTATAACTATTCTAATGTTTATTCAGAATGTCTCAGATAAACCATATCCTAGACTGTCTGTCTAGCGCACACATATGAATATGTTTAGACTATTCTCACTTTTTATGGATATCAATACTACTTAAAAATATGTTACATAAGATATTTATCATTTACCACGAATAATAAATGATTTTGATGTCGATTTTTGTATGATTTGACTTGTTAACATTTTCTTTTTTATTTTACATAATGATTATAATGATGATTTGATATTGGCATGCTATGCATCAGTTATTTTTGTGTTAGTACACGTTCATAAACATACAAATTTATCTCCAAGAAAATATGAACATGCTCCGCCAACATAAAGAACATTAACATAGAGACACTTACTCTGTATTAATCATATTTGACTCGGACAGACTGTGATTATCTCCTCTTGAAGTCGGTGGTCTTCGCATGGTTACAGTTTGCGTTAAGCTTTCAATTTGCAAGTCGCATGTCTATTACAAAAGACACAATAAAATGAGTTGCAAATTTATGAAAAAATGTATATAAAAATATGCTGATCTGATAGGAACTTACTCTTTTTCCGTATTTAGTTTCCACATGAGCACGCATCGACATGAAACACTGTTCTAAACGGTTATGAAATGGTGCTAATTCAGTAGGTGCTCGTGTTTTATGCAATTGAAGTCCCACGCTGAGTAGAGGGATTTGTTCTGCGATAAGGCCTTCCAACTTGAGTAGATCAGAACTCTCTTCCGGGTGACTATTCTTATATTCCATATTGAGAAAAGCCTTCTCATAGTTATCGATACCACCCATAACAGCAGGATCTAATATGCCGTTTAATTTCATACTCAAAGGATTTAGTGGGAAACTAGGGTCGCTTCTGTACAGTAAGAATAACATACATTTATAATGTTGTACACCTTTGACTTGCAGAAAACAATAGTAAGGGATTACATACAAATAGTAAATGAGCGGACCAATGTAGTACATCAGTCCATTCTAAAAGTTGCGTCTATTACAAATTATAAAAGAATGTTATACAAACTTATGAGCAATAATGAGATCTCTCAATGCAGTATTTGTAGCTTCCATAGTTTCAATCGCATTCCTCAAGGGGCTGACCAAGTATGTGTCGCTAGATGTCACAGGAAACCACCGAAGAATTCCCGGCAATGGGTAGCTCGTCACAAGTACTGTCCTTTCTAACCACAATGTAGCAAATTCATTGCTATTGTTGGCGCCGACGTTCGCTTCTTTTTCTTTATCGTTACCAGCTGGTAACGCAGAAACTGTATCTTTCCTCGGTGCAGGTTTCCTTGAAAATCTGAAGCGCTGCACGTCGTTCACGCGATGATACCTGGAGTATGCGTTAACATTTATGAAAAATCATAAACATGAAACGATTTGATTAATATATTGAGAGAGAGACTGCCGATTTCCACCGATGATTATCTTCACAATGCTCAACTCAAGTTTGAGTCAGCAAATATACAGTAAATAAATGCAATTCACGGTGCATATATTCGCTAGCTTTATTAGCTCGTTTCATTAGCTCTCTATCGATGTATTTAATTTAGTATAGGTAGTTACTTACGTTTTATATATAAATTAGTAAGACGCATCAATATTTTATAGCACTAGTCACTATTGACCATCGTCGCAGTCAATCAAGCCAAGTTCTATATATATTTAATTTTCAATATTTTATATTAAATATGCACCTTAAAACAGCTTCTGCAGTAACTGGTTTGCCACTAAGCCGGTGCCTCTTTTCATCCATCAACGGTTCTACTTTGTTGATCTGTACATACTGATGATTAGATTCCAACATTTCTGTAGTAGGAGGTGATAATTTGCTCATTTGCTCTGCGTTCGGTAATTGATTCAATGTCCTTGTGCAAAAATCGCTTAGTCGTTCGTACTCCTTCCCTCGGTAAACAAATACCTGTGGCCAATGCATTATCATAAAGAAAAAATAAATCCGAATAAAATAAAGCAAAAACTTATTATCCGATAATATACGTAAAACGTGTAGACACCTTATTTTGAAGAAACACAGGATGTCCCTTGCCGTAGTATGCGACTCTGAAATATTCTGGTTCTGGTCTTAACTGCTTCACTATCGCATCGTAGAATTTCGCCATGCGAGTTAATAGCACAGACAATTGCAAGTAATCGAATGTCTCTTCCTCGTATTGCGATACTAATTCCTTACAAACGGCAAGAGCGCATTCCCACATTCTTCCTTTGTCAAAATATTCGATGATGTTTTTGTACAATGCCTCCTTCAGTTCACGATGTGTTTGGCATAACGGATATCTGAAAAATTAGGTAACAATTTAATATTTAACTCGATAAATTTAAAATGTAAACAATTTGTTTTTTTTTCTGATCGATATTACCTATGTGATATTAACAAAGGCGGCAGAGGTTGATCACTCCACGCTAATAATTGGCTATGGAGCTTCAAAGAATAAGCTGCTTCTGTGTAATTATCGCATTCTAGATGTAGTTCGCAAAGCTTGTTTACATACCTGCAAATAAGTAAAATCACGCATTTTATTATATATTTACATTAAAAACCATTTGCAGTTGTAGTTTAAAATAAACAAAAGAAAAAGTAAACTAATCTCGATTATATAAACTAATCCATAAATTTAATCCAACTTAAAGAAATTATACAATCAACCCATTTAAGTCCAATAATAAAAATGTACTAAAAAGAGAGAGAAGGAAAGAAACTTTACACTAACCTGATATACATTTCTTTTCTGTTAATCTCAGAATAGAATTCTAATAGATTCACAGTGCAAAGCATACGATGCTCTTGTGATTCGGCATGAATAATATCACGATATTGTAACAAGCGTTCCATAAGTTTAGCAATAGTATCCACAAAGCGTAAACCTTGTTCACGCATTGTGGAATGTTTCTCACACAATGAACCCATGACCTGAGACCAAAGTGTGCGAAATTGTTCGTCACCTCTGCCTCCTTCTACCTAGAATAGAAGTAACATTTGAACAATATGCCATTATTTTAATGAAAATAAACCGATATATTAAAACAAAATTCTAATACAATAAAACAATAAAATAAAATACTTTAAAACAGATTTAATGAGAGTACAATATCCGACTGTACAAAATACTTCAAAATCGCGTCACTTTGTGCTGTCGAAGCTATTCATTTTAGCATTTAAGAATGATAAAAAGATAGTACCAAGATGTCTAATTTCGCAATCATCTCGTTTTCATATTCCATAAAATTGGCTTTGATATGAGCTGGATCACGTTTTGTATCACCATAGCCTTCCACTATACGTGAACTGTAGTATTCGCATTGCATCATATCGAAAAAAATGGGAATAGTAGCTTTTCTCAATTCTGTTTCAGGTATCAATGCCATCTCGAGAATTGCACCAACTAAAGCAGGTACAAAGAGTATTTTATGTTGTCCCAAGTTGAACCACATCGATCGGATTTCGAATGCAGTTTCCCTGTAATGCGCCACAAACAGATGATATTAATTTTTCATACTTTATCCCTTTATACAATATTTAATAAATATAATATATACATAGAATATCAGTTGCGGATAATTTTCCTTGGAAAACGTTAAAACAGCATTATTCTTACTCAATTTTATAGCGTTTTATTATTGCGATAATACTTTCGGATATCCTATGTGTTTTTAACATTATATGAGAAACACACCTGCGCATATCGTTATAACGCGCGATAATGCGATTTCGTTTCGCTGGTGTGAACGTCTCCAACTGTAGGGCAGGTTGAGTCAGGAACGCAATAGCACAATGAAAAAAATTTGACCAGGCTTGATGTTCGAACTCGGTGAAAAAATAATCTCTAATAGTGCCCGAGAAATATCGTAAAGATTTCAGGATGACACTATTTTGGAGCATAATCATTTCACACCAATCCCCTGGAAATACACTTCTGGAAACTAAATCTTTGAAGACTAACAGTATCTCCATTAAAAAGTCGAGTAAATCGATTTTCGTTCCAAAATGATTGATGTACACTTCATAATGGTGTTGTGTCATTTGCCTAAAAAATTTGTAACGAAATGAAGAATGCTCATTGTTCCCTCACAATATTTTCCAACTGCTTTTTAATGTTTTAAGATCTCAAGAATACCTGAATATGGCCAACATAACTGAGACTAGGTTCCCAACCAAAGGATTTTCCCTGTCAATTGATATAACAGTCTGTATAATGGTACGTAACGCTGTTAACATTATCTCTCTGACATCCGAAACTGTGCTACCTATATTTTTTCTGAAGGTCAACTCCAGAATGTCAGACAATATCTTGACGCATAATTCCACCTGTAGGAACATAAAAACAGACTTAAAAATTAGATTGTTTGAATTATATTTATCTTGTATCGAGTCTTAAAATTATATCATAAAAATATGCGAATATGTTTATTAAATTAGTGTGCGTGACATGTATCACTCTGCGATCTAACACACTCACACAAAAACTAACTCACGTTAATTGATGTAACACGAATCAACGATCCTAAAAATGTAATGCAACACAACAGGCAGGTGCAAAGTACATCATAGTTCTGTGTTAAACAGCCTCACAATGTACGATGATGCCAAGTAGGCACTATTATCTCTGTAGGAGATTTAAAAATTCCCTGCGTTTAGGGCAAAATTTACCTCTTCTCTACCGGAGTAGTCGCGATGCTGCTTGAGCTGGTGCCGATTTTCGCCGAGCAACCTGGCTACCTTCGCCACGCTCTTTCCAGGCGTACTTGATAGCCCCTTTAAACGCCAATAACCAAAACCAAACCGTACAAAAAAAAAAGAATGAAATAACCGTTGTTAGTCAGAAAACAATGCCGCTTCCTAAGACGTATACAAATATATTTTTCAGAATTTTCCAACACCAACGTATGTGAACATAAAACTGCATGCACAATAAAGATGCAATATCACTAAACGGTACAGTATATCAATAATATAATATATGAACGAAATTATAATTATGATTTTCCCGTGCTCGATTAAATTAATTAGATCATGAAGTATTACAGGTTTCCCTATCATAATAATGAATCCAACGAAATGAGACCTAATTTTAGATGATTTCATATCCAAAAGCCTGTTATAAAATGCATGATAAATATTATGCAGTAGTCATATCCTTAGACAAACACATGCCACAATCTAAATTTTATTCTCTTAATAGACGTACGTTTTTTCTAACATGCTCTATTGAGACTAAATATAAAGGATGCCTTTCAATATGCTGTATTTTCAGATATACAAACTATCAAATTTCCAATATTATTGTGAATTTTCCTAAATCTTTTTTCATGTACCCATAGCGCTATATTACATTCCTTAATATTAAAAAAAAAAAAAACTACAAAATTACTTTAAAACTGGGGATAGAAAGAGAAAGCGAGTAGGACAGAGAGGAAAGAGATAGAGAGAAAGAGAGAATAGATTCACAAAATCTAACAAAAGATTTTATACTAAGAAACAATTTATACAAAACTTCAAACAGAAATATTAAGACATCCTCCGTATAAAAATAGAATTTAATAAGATTCATAGAAAGATGCGTGGCGGGAGGAACTCAGGCTGCACGGAAAGCACAAATGACATTTAATACACATTACACTTAACAAAATTCAATGCATGTAAAAACAATGTCCTTATCAAAATTCATAGCGCAAAAATCTTTTTTGCAATTATAATGATTTCCGTAACTTTTATAAATTTGAAATGGACGAGACCTCAATGAAAATATTTGAAATGAAAAGACATATCTACTATATATGTACGTAATATTCTATCACTTATGATCATGATTTGTTAAATCCTGTATTTAATCATTATAAAATTGTATATAACTATAATTGTGTAATGCATTACAATCTATGGTGCAGTTAAAATATTAAGTTTACATGCTGTGAAAAATATTATACAATGCATAATTAGAGCCCACTATACAATAGAAAATCAATCATTATTATTTAATTAAAGATTGTGATCTTTAAATATAAAAAATATATTTATTATCATAACCAAGTCAAATAAAATATTGTTTGTAAATATATATAATATATATTGTAACAAGAACGTATTGTAATTCTATATACATCAAATTTTACTTATATCTTTACTTCAATCTATTTCTATAGATTACAATATACATAAAATTACTTTCCAAAGTAAATTAAACTCAATATTCGAATCACTATTAGCAATTATGTATGGATATTATGTTGATTGATTTCTTATAATATAATGGGTTACTGTTAAACGCCCTTCCTGTTGTCAAAGTGATTGAATTATAGTTTATGAGTTTAGTTAAATTCAATTATATATGAATGTGTATAGTTAAAATACGGTAAAATGTATCATGAATATGAGTGTTTTATAATTAATATTTCTTTTAAAATATAAACGGAGAACAACATGTACATTCCAGTTTGATTAAATTGTTAGAAAATCATAATATTAAGAGGAACAATACATTTTATTAACATCTTACCTCTTCTTTCGCTTCCAGTAAGTCCTTTACGAGTATGGTAACCCTCGGTAATAGAATATTTCTACATTCCACATCCAGAAAAAGTGGACTGTGAACAATATCATTTACAGTCATCATTTTTTGCTTGGTTAATCTACCTGCTGGTAAAGTCACTAGCAAATCTGTCAAAATTGTGCTCAGTTGCTTGCCGCTGTAAACCCTTAACAAATGAGGTATCGTTGTCGGTAAATATTTTAAACAAGCTCCTTGAACCAACAATGTACCATCTGTTTCATAACTCATAAGATTAACAATAGATTGTAATAGTTCAGTTAACGTTTGTGAGAATTCTTCTTCATCCTGATTTAATCTGTAAATAAGCATGTATTAATTATATTACATCACATATCTCTTTTTACACTTATAATCATATTTATATCATCTTTAAATATAAAATGTCTTATATAATAAACCTTAATAATGCACAATCATACAATCACGAATAAAACATACTCAGTGTATAGAAGACGAGATTCAACAATAAACCTCATACAGTATTGTAGACTTTTCATTGTTTTAAGCAATAAATCACGTTCTTGGCCGTCGTTGTTGCTGACGATGTCTATACGTTTACGTAATACCGCAATTAATTTCTTATATGCAAGAGTTGCGGAAAAACTTTCGGAAATGTATAAATCTAGCACTGGTTGGAAATGCTGATACTTTCGATCGGATACAAGGCCGATAATATATAAAAGGCACTCAAAGACCATGTCGTCGTACACATCGCTATCTGAATTACTCATTAAAATATTAAATAAAGCGTCTAAAACATCCTGGAAAGCAATACTGTTTGATGCAATTATTCCTTATATAAACATCATATTATACACATATAACATCTCATTTACAATTTTAATTGACGAATATATTAAATGTATCTTACCTGTAGAAACTTCACTATTTCCTCACCATCCACTTTCATTAAAGCAGCTAATGATTCCTTTAAATCAGTATTGTGCGATGCCCAATTAAGTAAACCTAATAAATCTACATTTTGCGTTAATTTAGTTGAGCAAACATTGGTTGCTATCAAAAAATTATCCTTACTACTTAACGTTAACGATCCTAAACTTGGCTTCTTTTCCATGTTCAACTCAACCTAAAATAAAACAGAATAAAAGATAAAACATGCATAAACTATAAAAAATATAAAATTTCTTGCATCGTTGATAAATAAATAAACACGTACCAATTCTCCACGTGTCGATGGCAGTTTTAAATACGATATATCACTCTCATCATACTTCTTCTGATCTAATTTATAAACTAACAATTCATGTTGTATGTCTTGTAAAGTTGTTCCGTTGCGTTGCATTAATCTCACATAACTTAAAGCAAATGGTTTCTCCGATTTATCTTTTGCTTCATTAGAACTACGATGCTTGAACGCAAATTTTAAATGAGCCTGCTTAAATTCTTCTATAGGTATAGCAATCTTAAACGTTTCACACCATCTAGGCTTGTCTTCGTGATAATAAATAACACTACGATACTCGTCAATCGAGGGTGCACCTCCACCTAATGTCATGACTCCGGGTATTGCTACTCCATGTTCATTACATACTTTAACCTATTGGAAATACCAGAAATGTGCAAACATATCTTACAAATAGTATATATTAACAGAAAAGTAATGAATATATCCCTTCAAATAATTCCCACTAACCGTTACTTCCACATTTTTATCCGTAGACTTAGAGCCCTTGCTAAATTCACCGCTTATTAAAGTCAGATACAAATCGTTGCGCACATCACCTGGTAAAATAACTTCCGGGAACCCCATTTTACGCGCAATAGCAACATTACCGAGTACTAAATGTGGATTTTCATCACGTACCTATGCGAGCATTTTAATGTTAGAGATATATAATCTTATCACAGCCCAATTATACAATAATTTTACCTAGGAACTTACTTGTTTAGGATCACCTCTTAATAATTTCAAACTAGTCCACAATCCTTGACCACCTGTGACATTTGCAATATTGCCATTGACATTCTTTTGAACATTTGCTTCTTTTTGCGAGAGAATTCTACGCAGCGTACCGTCGAGACTATCCTTCTCACAGCATCTGAAACAAAGGCAGAAGACCAACAAAACAATTCTATCTTAACTTTTTGTTAAAAGCTATTATAATTATATATTATATTAATTGTATATAATATTAATATTATATATTTTGTTAAGAGCTATTATAACGCTATTTTCCACTGCTTCACTCACAAGTATATTACAGATAAATTTTATTAGAATTAATATATACATACAAATACTTACTGTATAAAAGGTATAAAATGATGTTGTTCAACATCTCCTTCAAGCTTGCCAGTGATAAATAGAGTAATATCCATTGCAGCCACACCGAATGGTCTCCTCATGTTCTCTGCACTCTTAGACCTCTGATTAATGTGTGCAACGCTCGAACGACGATGATCTATTTCTTTGGCTTCCATACCACCTATTCTAATCACATAACAGGCTAAATAAACTTTGTCCCTGGTCAAATCTCTGGAACCAAGATCTGTGAACAATACTCTAAGGTTGTGCAATTGATCAATGTCTCTCGCAAGCCCTTCTTTGCTCCATGATACAACATAATTCTCCGTGATAGCTTTCATCTCACGACCGTCGTATAATGTCAATAGTAACTCCACATCTTCCGGCATTTTACACACAAAATTTCGTACACTAACGAAAAAGATATGTGAATATACAGGTACTTGTGGCTTATGAGGTTTTTTCTTGGTGTCATTAGATGCTTTTCTTATTCTTTCTGCAGCAGTCTCATGATGATAGTACAATTGGATGGTGCTTGTTTCTTCGGGATTTAATACATTCCCATGATCATCCCGTACAACCATATCTAAACCCAACAGTTGATTTCCAGTGTCTATTCTTGCTGTTGCTAATCTTTTCATATCCTTTAATTCGTCTACTGTGAGAGTGCCGCTTAAAATCTTGCTCCTGTATCCTATTACATCCAGTATTTGTTGCTGAATTATCCTGAAGTGTTCGGAGTGTGTCTACATATGAATAAAATGATCACAAAGTTATTTACACATACATATTTACTTTTCAAAATAAATATAAATTAAACATATACTTCTAAGTATTAATTATTCAGTAAAACAAAGGAATTAGCAACTTAAATATTTTATTGATATAAATTTTTATATCTAGTCAAAATTCAAATATTATTATTAAATATTATAAATATGCTGATTAGATTTCGTAATTTACCAGATGCTTTTCAAGTGCTTTGTTCTAAATAAAACTTTTTTACACATACTATGTATAAATGCTTCCAATGATGTCCCCATTCTCTTAAAACATTGGTAATCTCATGTATTAAGTTATCCATATTTGTTGATTTTGGTAAGATATGTATATAAGATTTTGGAAAGATTCCACAAGTACCCCTGAACTTGCTACGGCCATAATACCAGTCTGCATATTCTTCAGTTATCTGTACAACCTCTCCAACTGTTAAGCTTATTGCATATGGGGTTGGATGTGCAAAATTGTAGATAGCTAAAATATATTTAAAATATAAAGAAAGATTAGATATATATAATTTTTAAATATATTACTTTTTTCTTATACCAATCTAAATAAAATATATTTTGAAGACTATATTTTCTCAAATATTTTATTTATAAATTTTCATTACTTTGTATATTTATTAATAAATTTTAATTCAACAGTATACAAATATACAAACTTTATTTGAAGAATTTTACAAATCCTTCTTAAAAATTCTTTTAAAAAAAAGTATAAAAAATCTGAAGATAATAGATCTTTAAGATTATTATATATAACAATACTGTACTAAAATTATAGAATTAAAATATGACTATATGCAATATAGTATATGACAAAATATCTTTCTCTTTCTCTTATAAATCTTTCTCTTATAAACAATTAAAGTCTGAATAATCTCCAAGATATTTATTTACTGTCAATTAATTCTGACATAAAATAATTGGTTATGCTTCGACGTTACACGAGTGTAATGACGGCTTTTTAATCAGTATTAAAAACAAAGCTCTATCGAGATATTTTAAACGAAACAATTCGCCATTTGTATCTACTCGAGCAACATAAAGTTGTCATAAATATTCGACATACGAAATGTCATGCATAAAACGCCGTAAATTTGATACACATAGGTCTATTAGAAAGCGCAAAAAATATGCACAATCCATCCGAACGTCAGACAACGAAATGAAAATTTTATCTGAACTCGGGGGCACCTCCCAGGATGTTGGAATTTCGTAGTAGTAGGTTATTAATCTTACACAAATTATCCCTCACCTACTCCTAATTGTTCCTTTACCCGCTTCCATGTCATAGTCATTTTATCCGGGCTTTTTGTATTATTTACACTAATTACATCTCGACACGCACCCCATCAGTGCAAACAAAATATTGCCGTTTTATCTTGCCATCTAAGTATAACGCTCCCCGAAACAGGATGCTACTTCTTTACTATATTGCCACAGTTATGAGAGTAAATGCGATAGTAAGCGCTACAGAAGGCAAACACGTCATGAGGTATGTGAATCATTTGAGATGGGCGATGATCGACCGATAAATCGATATTCGATTCCTCTTTAAAAGATCGATAATCTCCTTGATTATTTTCAAATCCAATTAATAAACAATCTAATTAGTAAAAGTAAAAGAATAGATGCATGACATTTATTAAGAAACGATTGGGAAGCTTGAAGTTTCGTCTTTGAAATGCATCTTTTATATTATCCATATAAATTAATATTTAGTGTCAAAAATTAACTAAAATATATGGGGTTGAAAATTAGACTGTTGCCACTTTTCGTTTAAATTAATATACTTTGACGGAAATTAATGTCAATATCATATCATATCAATATGTTTGAAAACTAAAAAACTAAACTACAAATTTCAGAATGAAAAAAGTTTTCAAAAATCTACCAAATAACATTATTTTTGTCAAAGTTACAGTTTGGTTTGAATTTTGTTTATTTCATGTAAACTATTTAATCCGTTGTTGAGTAACACTACTTATAATAAGTTAAGAGTGAGAAGAAAGGGTGTGTGTCTATTCAACACAGCACAGTGGTTTTAGAACTTATAAAAATATTGGCTAAATAAAATTTCGATTAATTATTATGGAAGGTTTGTAAAATATGAATAGAGTCTTGATTATATTTGACGGAGATTACATTAAATTATGGTTTGAGTCTCAGCTAAAAATCTTGTCTTTTTAGCCAAGACTCAAACCATTATTTACCGGCTTCCATCAAAGTTAACCAAGACTCGAACCACAACTTATAGTTCTCCATAAGATTTAGCCAAGACTCAAACCATTATTTACCGGCCTCCAACAAAATTAAAGGTCATTCTACAATACGTGTCGTAAGTTGTAAGCTGTAAGAATTGGCGAATCACAGTCGATTATTACAAAAATAATCGGCTATAATTGGTCAGTTCTTACGGCTTACAACTTACGACACGTATTGTAGAATGACCTTTAATCGAAATTCTATTCATATTTTACAAAGCCCTATTATAATTAGTCAAACTTTTATTTAGCCAATATTTTTGTTAGTTCCAAAGCCGCCGCTACGAGTCGTTACTTTACACAAGGAAAAATTGAGATAGTAGTACAAATCAATGATGTAGCAGCCATATCCTACTTTTTAAGTAATATTACTCAACAACAGATCAGACACTTCATTCTATATAAAATATGCATAATTCAACAAACTATAACTTCGACAAAAATAACGCTATTGAGATGGTTCGAAAAGCATTTTACTTGCTTGAAAAGTATCTAGTTTTCGAATATATTTTAAAAAATAATATTGATTCATTTTCTTTAATGTTAACAAATATACATCGAGATCCATCCGCCAAATGTTTGTTAAAATTTACTTATTTGTCGTGATCAAATGATTCATTAAATTGTAGTTTTGTATAAACTCTTACGTTTCTTTGTAGTTTACATAGCTTAATAGTTGTTTAATATATCTCGATTTTAAAGACATCTAAAATATACCTTACTTCGTCTCACACAAGAACGCATACGCACACGTATATTTCATCATCATATCCTTATATATCACATACGTTTTACGTGTGTCAGCAAATTGTCACCGGGCATCTTCCGGAATTCACTGGATTCTACGGAAAACCTTGATTGTTAACACTTAGATACAAGGATATCCTAGGTAAATGTTTAATTTATACAATAAATCACACAAGAAATAATGTTGTATCTTGATCTTGATATAATATTCTTACAAAAATACTGAATCGCGTGACTTTAACATTCGACAGCTGGTTAAGTTCACGTGAGCGACAGCGTATCGTTTAGAAACTGTCAAATCTTGAAAGATGGTTTTGGATTTGGACTTATTCCGCAAGGACAAGGGTTTCGACCCAGAAAAGATTCGGGATAACCAGAAGAGGCGTTTCAAAGATGTTCAGTTAGTGGACACTGTCATCGAGAAGGATAAGCACTGGCGGCAACTGCGACATTGCGCAGACAACTTTAACAAATTGAAGAACCTGTGCAGCAAAGAGATCGGTGAGAAGATGAAGAAGAAAGAACCGCTTGGTGACGATGATACAGTGCCTCAAGCAATTGCCGATGATCTGGATAATTTGACCTCTGAGAGCTTGAAGGCGTTGACGGTAGTACAGATCAAGAGAATACGTACTCTCATCGACGAGGCGATACAGAAAAACGATGAGAGTCTGAAGACGACCGAGTCGGAAAGAAACAGTGCCCTTAGAGAAGTAGGAAATCATCTGCACGAATCTGTGCCTGTTACTGATAATGAAGAAGAGAATAAAGTGTGTAAAAAAAATATCTTTTCTGACTGGAACAAATTACAATGGTTTATCTTTAATGTTTATTCTTGCTTCAGGTAGAAAGAACCTGGGGAGATTGCAGTGTGAAAAAGAAGTACTCTCATGTTGATCTGATCCACATGATTGATGGAATGGATGGAGAACGTGGAACAGGAGTATCTGGTGGACGAGGTTATTTCCTTACTGGACCAGCAGTGTTCCTTCAACAGGGCTTAAATCAACTAGCACTAAGGAAATTATTTGAGAAAGGTTACAAGCCTCTTTACACACCATTCATTATGCGGAAAGATGCGATGCAGGAAGTAGCACAACTCTCTCAGTTTGATGAAGAACTGTACAAGGTATTTGTATACATTTTCATTCAAGAAACCTTTTCTTCATGTTTTAATTTTAAGTATAGAATTATTCGGGATAATTCTAATCATCATTTCTTATTGGTATTCAGGTGATTGGTAAAGGTAGCGAACGTAACGAGGATAAGGAACTGGAGGAGAAGTACTTAATTGCTACCTCCGAACAACCAATAGCTGCTTTCCATAGAGGCGAATGGATAGCTGAAAGCGCTTTACCGATTAGATATGCCGGTATCTCAACTTGCTTTAGACAAGAAGTCGGCTCTCACGGACGAGATACCAGAGGTATCTTTAGGGTACATCAGTTCGAGAAGGTATTTAAATCTAAATGAGACTTAGATCATATTTTCACATAGCAACGAGTTCTATCTTTACCTTTCTGTCGTTTATAGGTGGAGCAGTTTTGCCTCACTTCGCCTCATGACAATAAGTCCTGGGAGATGATGGAAGAAATGATCTCCAACGCGGAAGAATTTTACCAGGCTTTAAACATTCCTTATCGTATTGTCAATATCGTGTCGGGTGCATTGAATCATGCGGCCTCCAAGAAATTGGATTTGGAAGCTTGGTTTCCTGGCTCCCGTGCGTTCCGCGAACTCGTATCGTGTAGCAATTGCCTGGACTACCAAGCCAGGAGATTGTTGGTTAGGTGAATAATTATATATAATTAATATGTATTAATATATGCGTCTAAATCGATTAATTAGTATAAAATTATAATGTGTCAATATCACAGACGTGATTGACTTTTGTGACTCGACGCAATGAACTTACTCAGAATCGTTTGATCTTCAGATATGGGAAGACGAAGAAAATGAACACCACGACGGACTATGTTCACATGTTGAACGCGACGATGTGCGCCGTGACCCGCGTGATTTGCGCGATTCTAGAGGTGCATCAAACGGAAACTGGCGTGAAGGTGCCGGAGATCCTGATGGATTACATGCCCCTTGGGTACAAAAAACAGATTCCGTTTGTGAAGCCGGCGCCGATCAACGAGGTCGAGACGAAGAAGCAGAAAAAGCAGAAGGAAAACGCCTCCAAGTGATGCGATCGCACAAAACAATGGCGACAATGAATGTGAAAACTTTGTGTCCATCTACAGATCTTATTTATTAAACTGCATTTCTTTCCTTTTTTTTTTATTTTATATTCCATCGCGATCCGCTCGGGTCGCGGCTGTAATAACGATTTAAGAAAATATATACACACATCCGACTTCTCTCAACACATTGAGATCTCTTCACGCGTCTCGCAATATCTCTATCTCTCTCTATCTATCTCTCCTCGACCCGTTGGAAGCGAGGAAAGATCTCTTCTGGCCGGGTTTGCATCCGCAGACAAAAATTATATCGACCTCTGCCGATTCTCGGCAATTTTTGTCCCCGGATGCATCTCTACGCTCGTAATAAAAACGCTTTTTCTCCACCGAAGAAGGCATGTATCCGCGAACGGTCGTGTCGAGCTTAGAGAACATCGGCGATTGTCAACACAGATTACAACATTTTATTTGATAACACTTGTTCAATATTTTATAATCAGACATCGGTATATAATATATATGATTCTGTAATATACATCTGATGAGAAGAATATTTTCCCGTGTGTAATATTCTGTTATCTATATATTTGCCTCCTGTAAACTCGTAATCGGTAATGTGCTAAGAATTTTCTTTTTTTTTTTCCTTTCCTATCATTCTCTTCTCGTTTTCCGTCTTTTACAGCTTATCGGTATCATTAATACTAATGTACAGAGGCCCTTAAGATGTCTCTCTTGTCCAAGAACAATGCACTTCAGTGTATATCGGAAAGAAGATTACTGTTTATGCGCTTCGTTCAACAAGTTACAGTTTTCTCTCTCTCTCTCTCTCTCTCTCTCTCTCTCTCTCTCTCTCTCTCTCTCTCTCTCTCTCTCTCCCTCTCCCTCTCCCTCTCCCCCTCTCTCTGCAGTGATTATTACGTTTAACCGGAAGAAAAGCACATGCCAACTCTACATTTATAAAAACCGATCGTAACATATGTTATCAGCGTAATAATACTTTGGCCAGACACATGAGATAATCTACCACACTGCTTTCCATCTTAATAATAAAATATAGCCTTTACATAATATCATTATATACGAGTAGACTTTTTTTCGTATAATACACTTCGTGTAGTAAATTATCGTCGTTAGCAGCAACGTACTTCACCGAAATAATATGAAGATTTTTCGTGTATGTATATGTATCTATATATGTATGTGTATGTGTGTGCGTGTGTGTGTGTGTGTGTATGTGATTCCACACATCGCGGCCGTAATACTACGTCTTATTACTGAGCAGACACACAAACATGCCTCGATGAAACAATACGTAGAAAATGTGAGATACGGAAATATATTCCATAAAATTGACAATGTGACATTTATACGCGATCACTTGAGGAAATCGCGAACTTTCAAGAATCAAGCGACGCGAGTGTGAATATAATCGCGACAGTCTCAATAGAACAATAATCGGTCTTTCGCTCAAAATGGAAGAAGATTCCTCGGAGTGGATCGAGCTCTTCAACGCTTGAGAGCTATTGTCAGGAATCATGGAACCTTCGTTATATTATTGTTTCATCGATCGGGAAAAAAAAGCGCATTTTATCGTTCGTATCGTATATAATCACGGGCGAAATATAATCTTTCTGTGCTCTTCCGTCGATTTTGGCAAGTACACGATCGGTGCAACGGTTTCCACACGTTCTAGCGATGCGAATGTCACAGTGCCGTTTGAATAATTTTTCTTATCTCACTTTCTGTTTTCGCTTTCTCTCTCTCTCTCTCTCTCTTTCTCTCCCTCTCTCTCGTTCGAATCACTCCTTAGAAAAAGTAAAACGTATTTGTAAGTCAAAACGGCCGTTGTATCGGCAATTTGGTCCAACAACTGGTTCTCGTATAAGGGCATCAGTGTTAAAATCTGCCAATCTGCCATCGGTTTATGCCTATTTAGTCGTATGCAAACGCATTTGGCGCGCTTCATAATTTTTGCTTTTTTCTTTTGAGTATCAAGTGTGCCGAAACAATCGTCGTGAGTTCCGTGATATCGATACAGGCACAACGGTAAACACAAACAATTACAATAGTACGCAGTATAAAAGAATGATCCCGCCGAGAAATGACCTCTCTCTCTCTCTTTCTCTCTCTCTTTCTCTCTGTCTAACGCGACATTGCACGATGCACGATTGACGCGCGTCGTACCTATGTCGTATAGAATTATCGTAATTATCGGATAAAACGAATGTTCACGCTATAATCTCTTGTGCTAAGTCTTCTCAACGAAAATTGTCACGGAATTAACCATACACAAATGCGCCGATACAATTCATTCTTAAAGATACGCTCTTCCGGAGATATTGCTTCATTGACACCGAATGGATAACAAGGGATGCTTATATAAGTCGACCGAGTTTCAGGGTAAAAAGCGGACTAATTGTGTTTCTCGTTGGATTGGTGCAGATTTTAATGCCTCAGCCGAGAGTATATATAATCATTTTCCTATAATACATATATAATATACTCCATGTCATATATGCGACTGTTTAAGTTCTTTTATACATTTATATGTATATATATATATATATATATATATATATTCATATATATCTTTATATATATATATATATATATATCTGTATTTATATATTTATATTTATACTTCATTATACCCCCCTCCCACACACACATATGTATATGCATGTATATCGCGTATAACAATGTGTCGATGTACCGACGTGAAGTTTTACTGCATGGATACACATAGAGTCACTGTTTACCACTGCTATCTATGGTATTTGTTTACTTTTGTATGCTTCGTATATTTTTCCATAACATTAATCTTGACTGATATATAATTACATAACAATTTTAAAAATATTTCAAAATTAAACAAGAAATAATAGAATAATGAATATTACGGTAAATCAGTAGCGGCTATAAGCATAGTAAAAATACGTCTAACGCAAATAATAATAATAATAATAAAAAAGAACGGTGTAAAGAAGCGCTCGATTTAGTGCATACTCATTTATACAGCATCGAGGAAGAAATGTAAAGAGGAAGGGATTAGGAAGAAAGTCATGTGGTGAAGAAATAGTCAGTAGAGTAGCCGCCACTTTTACTTTACTTCTGTTTTCCTAGATCACAGTCACATTCATGGCTGCTAAATCACGGAACGTATTTCATCACCATGTGAAATAAAGGGGGAAGAAGATATCAAAGTATTTTTTTTTCAAGAATCTTATAAATACTGGAAAGTAGTTCGCTAGTTTACGCAAGTACAAAATATAATATTTTTTCGTTTCAAACTCTTTGAGATGGGCTAGAGTGCGAGAGATATTCAAACCCTGTTAAGATCCTGTTTTATCTAAAGGCGAAGAATGATGTGTTTGAATGATCTCGTGATATCTCGTTTTCAAACAGATTTTTACGAAGAGTGCGTATACAGTAAAGTGTGATAAACTATATAAACGTATAAGCAGTCTGTTGATGCACAGTTTCTTTCGTTATTGCTCAGCTATGTAAACACACAGATATATTCGACAAGAATATAAATTCACACTATATAGATCCTGTATAAGACAGATCTTGCGTAGTAAACGCGCATAAATATACACAGTAAGACTTGAGCATTCGTATTTAAAATATTTTCCTGATAAAATATCTCCTTAAAACGTTCTACAAATCTCATTAAACATCTCATTAGAATTCAACCGAATTAAGTAAAAACGATCTCCTGCACACACACTTCACGACACGTGACGTAAACGCACGCATATATGCGATTCTCTCTAGAATATTCTCACAATTATAGGGTAGCGTTTGAAATATACGATCGCTCGCGCACGAAACGCAATCATAAAAATCGTTTTAAAACGTAGTAAAACAGCTCGTTAAGACCGGACCTGAAGCGATGCATGGATTTTCTCGTGACAGAATAGAGAAGTTACTTAAGTAACGACGACGACACGCGAAAGCATCACAGGATCAATCCAGGCTTTAAGTTTCCCTCTTCCTACACTACCGTTTTGCCACCAGTGCGCTTAACGCTTGGTAAAAAATAATAAATCAAGAGACGATAGGACGATAATATAATTATATTATATACAAACAATCGTATCCCTTAACGCGCTTTAGGAAAAGATTAACTTTGGAGAAGGGTGGGAGGACTGTGTGTGTCCCGAGCACAAAAGTCCACGATAGATGAAGGCCCATAATTTGCGATTATTCTAAACTTAATCCTGCGCTTTTTTCTCATAGTTATAATTCTACAAATTACAATACTATATATATATATTCTACCACACCTCCGTTACACCCTAAATTTATGTTGCGTGTGTGTGTGTTTGTTTGTGTGTTGTGTTTTATGTGTTTTGTGTATATATTATATACATATATATAATATTATATATCGTATATATAATATTATGTATATATTCAGTTAGTATATATATCGCATGTTTTCTATTTACAAAATATGTAGAATAGACATTACCTCATATCCTAACTACAATATACGTGCCGTGGCGCGAGACTTCAACCTCTCGAGGTGCGCTTTTCTTTTTATAAACATATCACTAATTATACATAGTCTATTTTTTACAGCCAAATTCAACAACCCTTGCTAAAATTCAACGCGTTAATTCTGAAAAGCTTCGACATAGCTTTAAAAAGAAAAAAAAAAAAAAAGAAGGAAAGGAGAAACTGGATCAGTAAAAGATGGTATTTTAAAACAGATTGCGCGATACACTGTATCGTTCGGATAATAAACTTATTAAAACGACGATATAAATACTGATCCGACTAAACTCTCTATATATATATATATATTCATCGCGTACAACATAAACGCTCATGCTTCGATAAAAGGGTGCGCGTTGATGAGACGTATGGTAACTGCCGCATTAAAAATTGATATAGGCATCCGAATTGCAACGATGAACGGATTTTGTTTCTGCCTCTTTGCATAGTACATGTTAAGTACGTGACGGATACACAATATAAAGATATAGCAGTAAAACGCGTATTTGTCACGGCCAAAAAAAAATTGGAAAAAAAATACGGCCTGCTTAAAAGCACTTAGATCTAAGGCCAGCAAGAAAGGAAAATAAAATAAACAAAAAGAAAAATAAATGAAGGGGGAGAAGCAAAAGACCGTTTAAAAAAAAATATATAAAATCACAGATTAAAGCATTGAATCTTAGCAAAGCTCTAAAAACAGTAGAATAAGTACTTTCAATAATGTTTGGAAACATATTACATATTATCTATATCAAAAGAGTCGTCTAACAATTATCCCTTCACTAATAAGGGAATTATTAGCGCGCATGCATTCCCTTTGCTCTGTCGTCGCACAATGGCACGGTTCTTGCTTTTCCGATGTTATAATCTACGAATCACCATAGAATGCGGTTGCCTTTATCGTTTTAGATAAAGAATTGTAGATATTTCAACTGTTCAGATATCTCTTACACATATCCCAAGATCATTCTGCAATATGTACAAGTGAAATAATCCCCGATCGATCATCGGTGACGGTTTACAGAAATTTTGTGCAGTTTTCATACTATAGCTTTCTTTTTTTCATCTATATAATATATAAAGTATAACTAAGGTATATAAACTCTGATTTTCTCACGTTATAATGTTCCGTTAATTCTATGTTCCATAATGTCTTCAATTACAATTTTCTTTCCTCCTGCCTTTTTCTATCTATCTCTTTTTTCTCTCTCTCTCTCTCTCTCTCTCTCTTTCTCTATGAGTTTCATAGTATTTTCAACAATATTTAACAATGGCTTAGGCCTTTCATGAATCACGCAGGACGTGTTGATGTACAAATATCAATTACACAATCGAGAATTGCGCGGAGAAACATGAATGACGATTTCGAGATGTACTAAAATAACGTCACATTTTCATTGTTCTCACGTTTCCTTCTGAATCATCCTCGGACATAGAATGCAACGTAATATTGTCTTTTCGTTTTAAAGAAGAAAGCTCATCTCGTGTGTTGCGTGTTTTTATTTACGCGAACTTCAATTCGCATACCAAAACATAAATCGCCGTGAAATACACAGAGCAATCCGTCCAATACGTGAACATTAACGATTTTCTCCGGTCGTTTCAATATTACGATCATACTCAAAAGAACACACACACATACACACACACACACACACATTCCGAGGAAGCAGCTGACGGAGGGTATCGACGAACGTGTAATACCTCGATATTATATACAAAGTCGACCGACACTGACACTTATATATCAACACGCCTGGCGGCATGCCCGCTAGGTTACCCGCACCAGGTCTCATCGAAATTTAAAATTGCACTAAAGCCTTTCGCAAGTACTTTACAAGTTCCGAAGAGGATGTGCACTAACGACATTTCTCTAGTAAACACTTTGCTCTTCAAAGGATAATGATGTACTCGTGTTGTGGAGTAAGGGGATGCATAGTATCACAGTTGGCACGTGGGTGCTAGCTACCACTACTGCTTACAGGCAGTGAATGTGGAGCTCCCATCGATGTTGGAGGAGCAGTCAATGGACCTGAAGAAACATTGGCCGTTTGAAAGAGAGAAGAAACACAAACAGTGGCAATCGATCGATCAGCATACACGATAAAAAGCATCTTAAGAACATAATCGTCAGACGAAACATAAAATAATATAACTCGGTTTCTTTCTCTTCTTTTATATTTACCAGTTACAACAGGTGAAGACTCGGAGACTGGTAATGGACTGACGAGGCTGTTGGCACTCATCGGTGTCGAATTGGCCTTCATTTTTTGTCTGACCTCCCGAATCTTTAATTGCAAGCTCGTCTTGGTGGGAAATATATCCGCATGCTTAGCTTGAAACGTGGAAGTGGCTTGCGTGGATGGGAAGTAACCGTGTTCCTGAAATAACTGCATGACCAGATGCCTGCGTTGCTCCAAGATCTTCCTATGACCGCGCTCGTTGTCACTCCTGCCGATTCCTACAGCACTCCCGGCACCGCCGCTGGGAGTTTTTGGTGTACGCGGGGAACTAGCGTCGACGTCGATCAAATCGTTGTTGGCTCGATAGGCGTCGACGTTGAAATCCGGGCCGAAGAATGTGTTGCCTGTTAACTTCACGCTCGAAGTGGACTTTGGAGTAGCCGATATCGATGTATCCGAGTCGATCTCATCCTCATTCACTGTTAAAGAAACGCGAAATTTTGATTGGTACAATTACACACACACACACACACACACACACACACACACACACACACAGTTCTTGTCATGCAATGTCACACAAATCACTCGGTAGGAATATTACTTGTGGGCCTATGAGGTCCTTGTGCAGATTTTTTCCGATAACTTGGCATCTGCATGGAAGATTGTAAATTCGACGAATGTAATCCGGACGCTACGCTGCTATGGCTAGATGAGCCTGGAGTGTTTATACTGATCGCACTCGGACTCTGTATATCCCCCGGTTTGAATTCCGGCAACGACGAGAACTTCTCTTGAAAGTTCACTTGTTCGAGTACTCTGCAAATGTACCAACGATGCGTTCGTATATTATCAGTTCTGATCTGACTTTAAAGTACACTTCTCAGAGTCGCGTGAAAAAGCGTGAATGAATGAAAGAAATCGAAGTGCTTAACACTCTTCGATCATGATGAGACTCAAGACGGAAGGGCCGTTGAAAATGCATCTCGACAGTACCTGTCCATACCATCCTCCACGTTTTTCTTGAAGAAGGAAGCCTTCTTAGTGGAGGGTGAGGGGGAAGTATGAGATTCTGCCAAACTTTGCTGTTGCGTCTGCTCTGACACGCTCTGAGACGTATTGATTTGCGGTCGACTGTCACAATGCTGAGATATCATTGGCCCATGATCCCCTGCGTTTGAAACGGGAGGCAGTGCTGTCGTTGCGAGAACAAATAACAAAAGATGAGAAGAAAGTGGGAGCAAAGAAGGAAGATAGCGAAAGAAACGAACAGCAGTAGCTTAATTATTGCGGCACAACGGAAGTATGTCGGAGTATTCTCACGTGGCCAATTATTTTATCACTCTCACATCAATCTTGAAGCTACAAAAGTATCGAGACTGCATACCCATCGATTGTCTCCTTTGCAGTGGCGCACGACCGAGTTGTGCCGGAGTCGGAGCGAGCATGAAAGGACCCTTGTTTGGCCCTATGTCGTTATTCTGGCCCTCATCGAACGAGTACGACTTATTCGACGACAAATCACCGCTTCCGTGATTGTTCTGAGGTGTCTGCGGAGTGTGAGGTGTCGGCGGTTGCTTGTGCTTATCATTGGTCGTGGGAAGAGCAATGTTTATGGTTTCCTTCCTGTCTTCCGTTTTTACGTTACTACCTGCAATGGACAACGAGATGAACAAGATTCGTGAAAATGGCATAAGTACCACCAGAGAGGAGAGGTATTCGGTATTAATAATAAGTACGAGGGTCACGAGAAAAAGAGGAATCCGTCCAAAGATTACCGTAAAATTGAGCGTGATTCGTGGTCAGTTGATTGTCACTGTTCTCAGGCTCGGTGAGACGAGCAATGGAATGGCCACCGTGCCCTCGGTAAGTCGACGTGGTGGAATTTGTCGAGACCGGGTAGGGCTTGCTCACAATGACACTCTGAATCTCCATCTTGTTATTGGGAACCAAGTTTTGCACGGATATGGAGTTGTTGCGATTACCAGCGTCTATAATCGGATTGCAAAGACTCGTTCTTTCAAAAATGTTGCACTGTCTCGCGGGAGGAAGCAACGTGAGGCTAATTTTTCTCAGTGCTCACCAGAGATGGGTATCTGGAATCCGCCGTACATCCTGGGATGCTGCGGTGTCGGGTTAAGGTACTGCGATCCCTGCTGCGGTTTGGAAACAGCCACCAAATCGTTATCGAGCAATGTTAGAGTGAACGGTGGTTGATAAGGGACAGTTGAAGTAAGGGGACGAAGAGTAGTGCCTAACGACTGCAACGGCTGCTGTTGTTTCAACAGCGCCATCATAGGTTTCGATCCAATCTGTTAGTATTGTTAAACTCGTTAACGCAATTCCTGAATCCGTCTACTATTCGCTCGGCGTACTATCGCGGGAGAAACGTGCGCACTACTTTCTTAAAAGCAATTGCCTCGTGAGATTGAAAATAACTTCGACGTCGTCATGGGAGAAACCAAGAAGAGAGGTACACACGTAAAGTAACAAGTAATCGCATGAATATGGTCTGTCCAGAAAGTTCGTGGAGACTTTTTCTCCTTAGTCAGACCTGATTGAAACAATGTTTCGAAACGATAACAATGTCACGTTGCATTGTCAGTTGTTGAGATCTTTTTTGAACTGGCATATGAATAAGATCAGGGATATTTAAAAAAAAGTAAACATCAAATTTTTAGCAAAATTATAAGCAATGACTCGCGGGGCGGATTTGCGAATCCGATTTCAACAAAAAACGATCGAGTAAATAATGGAAACAGTGCGAAGAAGCAGAATCGAGAGATTCCAAAAGTATTTTACTCGATACATATCTAAACTATTTCTTGAGAATTATTATTCACGAACTATTCAGACAAACCATCAATGTGTATGCGAAAATATATCAATCTAAGAAGCTATAATGAAAAGAACGTCCTGTGGTTTTGGATCGTAACTTGTGTTGTCAAAAGTGCAGCAGAGAGAGCAGTGGTAGGTAGCCAAGTGCACAATCTTAATGTCCTGCTCGGATACAAAGTCTATAAATTTGAAGGTCCATCTTAAACGTATCTTCGTATTTAAGACGGACTTTCAAAATAACGGGGGCTCGCTAAGCTCCCGTCGCGAACTTTTTACACATGTAATAAACTTGTGCACTCTCAATGATTCATGCGAGAGATCGCATTCGCGCAACATTTGCGGTGCGCGAGCCTCTCCATCTCTCTCTCTCTCTCTCTCTCTCTCCCTATCAATCACAAAAATGTGCACCTTGCAAAAGATATCCCACTCTCATCTAATACTTACAGAGTGCAACACCGGAGCTGCTGTAAACTTAGGCATGTTCCGTCCGTTCTCAGTGTGGATGCTTACGAGATTGCTCACGCTGTACTGAGTGCTGTACTGCTGCTCGCCCTTCACCGGCTCCGGCTTAATAACTTTCGGCGATATTGGCATAGTTATGAAAGCACCGCCAGTGGGTTGGAACCCTGACACTCCTGTTGGATTGACAGGACTGTGATAAGGATACGTACTCGACAAAACTGATACAGTACCGCCTTTATCCATGGAAGTATGGTGATATTTTGTTGTGGATTCTATACCTGTTGAGGGTATCCGTGCTACATAAACACCAAGATTCACATTGTTAAAATGCATTCGTCTACTTTGTGTCGCACGTTAAACGTACGTTCGAAAAATTTCGGCGAGATACCTTTTATCGGTTTAGGCCTGCAGGTTATTTCCTGTTTAACATTGACCGCCTCTCGCTTCTGACCGCTCACAGGTGAGAACTGCGACTGATTAAAGCACTTTTTCTCCGCGTCCTCCTGCACGTCGTTGTCACTGTCTGTCAACTTGTCTTTGCACTTCAGGTCTATTTCCGGCTGAGGATCTTCGCAGATAACCATCTGATCGTCGTCGGATCCGTTCCCGTCGTCGTCTTGCTTAACATCAATGTCTGCGTTCTCAACTTGCAATGGAATCTCTGCGATCCGATGTTGCGTGTGCGACTGGTTCATAATCTGTGTCGATAATTCCGTCGATGAAGCCAGTCTACTCAATCTCTTTTTAGAGAAGACATAGAGAGTAAGTAAAAAGATCATCGCGACATTGTTTTCTTTTTTACCTCGATATTAGCGGGAGCTTCATTGTAGTGATTCGCAGTAGTGATCGGAGCGGGCGCTTCGTCGGCGGGAGCAACCGCCAGCGGGTCCTCCGAGGAGGAGCTCTGTAAGGGATCAGTTTCCTCGCCCGTACTGTTCAACTTCGCCCTAGTCTCGCTTCCTTTGAAGCTCGCCGTCGACGATTTTCGTCTGTCCTTGCTACACCACTTCCAATCCGGATACGCTTTAAAATGCGCCTCCTTCACCTCCGAGGCGAGATCGTGATACTTTTGTTTCTCCTCTGGTCCCAACGCGTACCACCATTCACCCAATATCTTAGACACCGTGCGATTGTCTTGGTTCGGGTGTCGCTGATGCACAACGGCGCGATGTCGTTTCGAGAAAATCATAAATGCGTTCATGGGCCGTCGTATTCTGTCTTTAGTCTGTAAAGTAAAGAATAGACTCATGAAGAGACACACGACGCCGCTATGCGCAAGGAAAATATTTTATATTTAAACGCGTATACGATAAAAATATATCGCGACGTGTGATTGTCGAGGAGCTTACTTTCAGTGGACTTTGCGGCTCCTTTGATTGCAAAGCACTGAGCGACTGACTGCGTCTCTTATTAGCGTTAGCTTCCACTTCTGCGGGTGGAGTTGGTTCTGCTTCAAAAACATCATCGTCCTCTTCCTCGGCGGGTATTATGGGATCTGAACCAGTACCAGGGCCATCTTCAGCAGGAGTGCTCATACTTATTGGAATTGGAGGTGCGCTCAGGGGTGGGCTCAGAGCAGAAGGAGGAGGGCTCACCTCTGATTGTTCCAGAACTGTCGTCTGCCAGGAAAAAGCTGCAATGAAGTTAGTGGGTTAGTTGCGATGAGTGTGGTTAGTAATGACGCGGGAATAGCAGCTGATATAACAATGTTATAGTGAACTTTATGTATAGACATATAGTGTTCGCTGCTATATCCCTAAGAGGTAAAATGAGTTAGTGGTAATGCAATGAATTGAACTGTTAGTATCAAACCGAAATTGGAATACCGTAAGAAGAGAACTGCGTGTCATTTGGAGGATATTACATGAGATCTATCGCGAGTACAGCATTCTTGTAGCATATGTAACTGTAGCGTAAGTGTATGTCCGATCGATATAAATCAAGGGCAAAAGAAATATTAGCGAGAAACCCTTCCCCAGCATTAAAGTTCATCGTCGTAAGTGGATATTTTGCTTACATATGTTAAATGAGATGAGCAGTTAAAAGATGAGAACATAGTTTGAGGTAATTAATTGCGTTTGTTGCAAGATTGACAATGGTACATGGAAAAAACGGCGAATTAAAAAAAAATATACCTCAAGTAAGAAAACAATCATCATAAGAAATATGGTGAATGTCATATTCGGGCAGTAAATTTAATGTAACTTTCTTCGAGTTTACGTTCATAGAAATGGAATATCTCTTTCTTGCTATCTATCTATCTATCTATCTATCTCTATCTCTCTCTCTTTCTCTCTTGGTACCGGTGGTGTCATATATTATTAAAAGTATATGAAGTAAATACAAAAGAGAAAACGTATAAATATGCAAAAATATAAAGAAATATCAAAAACCTGAGTGCGACTTTTAAAGTTATAAGTACAACAAGTAAGTAATATACATACTTAACATTAACAAATAAATATGCTTAAGTACAGTGCTATGTACCATTGGCAAATTGCAAGCTACAGCAATTCGACAGACGTGATACATTTCAGTTGGCAGTCAGGACTCAAACCTTTTTTCCAGTTGCGCACTGCACTGTTCAGTAATGATGGGGGATGGGGCTGGTATGCAGGAGAAACTTCGTGGCTGCCATCTGTGAAAGCCTTACCGTTTAGTCAAACTTGCTTGTACTATCGATTCGATATTACGATATTTTGAGGAGTCGTCGTGTAAAATACAACAGTCGCGCAACAACAAAGTGAAATAAAACAAAGTGGAACAACGAAAGATCGTTATAACGCTTGCATGAAACACAAAAGCTCGACCGTCAAACTTAAACATTATCAGTGAATCACTGTCAAAAGTACAAAGATAGGGGGTGTTATATCAGAAATGTATCGGATCGCTGTAAATCACGTGTGTAGAGAGGGCTAACGCGTATCTATCGTACAACGTAGAACTTACAGAGAATACCGTTGTTTTTTGCATTCTCTTCCCTGGCGGGCTGGGTCTTAGGAATCTGCACCAAATGTCCGGACTGAACAATTACGTGCTGGAAGACGCTTGTCGGAGTAGACGGATCGGATGCTTCCGTGGTGGATGTCATCACGACGCTCGTAGGCGGCGGTTGATTTCTCTGCATGTCCATATGCACACCAGCATGCGTGCCCACCTTGTTCACCTGTAAACGATACCGTACAATCGCGGAATACGATCAACCGCTTCTGCACCGGGTCTTAAAACCCCGGTGTCTACGATACACTACTATTTGTGCCAGCGTAAAATTTGCGCCGATTTAGAGTGTTGCGATCAACTTACGGGTTGCAAAACCGACAGTTTGTCGAGATGGACGGATGAAACCACGGGTGACTGAGGCGGCTGGCACTGCACTTGGTTGAACGTGGACGTCGGCAGCTGGCCCAGATGATTCATCAGACCCTGCCGATACTTGTCGTCCTGATTGCTGATGTGCGCAGCCGCTGGTCCATCCATGCTATTCTTGATCACAACGTACTGATGTTTCTTCTCATGCTGATGTTGCATCACGTAGATCGGCTGGTTCTGCGGCTGCGGCGGTTGCGCGTAGTCGACCGGCTGTTCCAGCGGCTTGTGCATCAGCGCCAAGTTCTGCGGCGCCGATGTCGGCAGCGGTATGTGCGGCGAGTGCGACGGCTTGATCAGCTGCGTATTCTGCTCGGCCATCTCGGCGTGGTGATTGGGGAAATCGTTACTCGACGCCTGCAGCGCGTGCTGCAGGATTATGCCCTGCTGTTGCTGGGCGATGGACGTGACTACCGAGGGGTGTCTCGTCGGCGGCGGACTCTGCTCCGACCACGGCAGAGTCATGTTCTGTCCGGATATGGCGCGGGTCACCGGAGAGATTCTTATCACGCTTGTCCCCATACTGGTAGGGACAGGCGCCGTTGGAGCTGGCCGGTTTGACCGGACCACTCGATTCGGCTCCGGCTTGATCACCTGCTGCGGATACTGCACCATAAAGTTAGACTGCGTGGGCGAATGCTTCCATTTCGCGCTAGGTGAAATCAGAGGAGTCGCGTGATGAGCGGGACTCGAGATGGGCATGAACACGTTGTTCTGATTGAGGCCCAACGGCGGCACCGGCGATTGGTTTATGCACGGTGATATAGAGGACTGGCCTGTCGGTGACGAGAAAGCTGGCGTAGCCGATCTAGAACTCCCCAGAGACACTGCAACAAGACGTTATATTGACTTACTTTTTTATTCAAAAGAGAAACCACCCGTCGATTATCCCGTCGAGCTTTAATATGAAGCTTTCAGAAATGGCGGCTGTGATCGCTCAATCGATCATTGTATGTACAAGGGATTCGACAAAATTGCTCAACTGTGCGAGCAAAGTGCGAGAAAGGAATTTTCTAATTTCGATTTTTATTAGGTATATGGAAGATTACCGAGCATATTAGCAGCTTCGGTTTCGTCTTGATCAAATCTACCTGCTATTCTTCTATCACCGTAATTCGGCGAGGTGTCGGAATCTCTCGACGTTTCTTCGCCGTCCATCTTGCCGCTGTAACCGATGCAAATCGCATTGTTTTACCTGGTTCTTGTAACGAACGCATCGCGAGGCGCGATCCGTTCATTAAAATTTTAACAAGCGGCAGGGTTCTTACCCAGGAACCGCGTTCGTCGGGCCTCTAAGACCGGATCCTTTCAAATTGAGATGACGGGAACAGTAGCCTCTTCGTTGGCTCTCCTTGCGACATCCGTCCGAAGAGCTACAAAGCCTGCGCCACTGTTTCCCGTTGAATTTCTTTCTAATTCCGCTCGGTGTAACCACTATATCACCCTTTTTATACCTATGTGGCGTTGCCGCCTGAGATCTGTTGTGAAACGGGACAAAAGAAGAAAGCAGGCTCGCTCAATGTGGCTAATGAACGCGCAGCTTATAATTTGGCATATTCGCATGCGTGAAACGCATTTTCTTTTATCGAGAGGATCGATATATTTGATAACATTAATACCTGGGTGTGGCTGCCTGAGAACGAGGCGTTATACTACGTTGTTCAACTAGGCTACTGGTACTTCCCCGGCTCTGCATGCTGCTTCTCTTGCTGCTCCCTGACAATTTTGCATCTGTCAGTTGAATATATCTGAATTACTATACTATTGTTTCGATTAAAACGTGTGTACCACACGATAAAAACGATATCGAGTCTGTAAATGATGTTACATCCGTACAGTATAGTTGCCATACACAAGGTCCTCTGTGTAAAAAATGTACCGTGTACGAAAGCGAGTTATCGTTGGCTGATATCTAACCTGCGTCCGAAGGAAATGTAATATCTTCCCTGTCTAAGTCGTCCTCGCTTTCTAAATCGTCGTACGGCCGGCTGCCGTTACTTAACGCAGTACTGGCAGAATGCGCAGGAGTGCCTAAGGTCATGAGAGGACTGGTGCCGGTGGTTCTATAGTAGCTCGTGTCGTTATGAGACGATATATGCGATGGGTGATGAGAAGTATGATGGATTTGCAAAATTGGCACTGCTGTCGGAGCTTCCGTGGTATTGCGATACCCGTGTTCTGGTAAAACAGTAAATTGCGAAGGACGTGTTACCTCAAGAGAGACGCGATTAACACAACTCGATGGGATCTCTGCCCGTGCGATGATGAGAGAGAAAATTGTATTACCAATGGTCTCGATCCTCGAAGGATCGCATTCCTCCAGGCCCTCCTCCAACTCGTCCGCCCATAGTGGTTGCACCAGTCGCAAGTCCGCGCGCTTCACATAGCAAGTCTCAGTCCGATCGTCATCCCGCGATACTTTCACAGCAAAACGATAAGGCTTCGTTAATATCTTGTACACTGTCCCCTTAACAAACACCTTCGCCGCGTCCACGTGGCTCGGATCCACATGACCCGCGTCTACTACATTGCTCACGTCCACGTGACTGTTCGCGATTGAAGGTATGACAGTTTGCCTGATGCAAACCTTCGCTTCCAGAGTCACCTGTCCCAGGGACGGGCTGGCGTCGCCTATCACATCGTATCTGCCCGCGCCCAGAACGTCACTGTACACTTGTTTCCTCTTGTCGTCGAACTCAATGAGAATCTCCCCGTGAGCCTCCCCGACGTTACGTATTACACCCGGATAATAACATAAATCCCTTAAAGCTAACACTCTGTGGTCGCGCCACTCACTGAGATCAATAACAACGGTTGCAGGCCGAGGACGAGAACGTAAAGGTTCCTCGCGAAGAGAATAATCCACCGCTGTACTCTGAGGAGGTAACACCACTACCGAATGGGCTGAGGATACCTAAAGGCACCGCGAAACATATGCTTGTAAATATTCAACGTAAACGTTGTTTCTCCGGCTTTCTTCCTCCTGGTATTTCTACCAGTCATTCAATTTTTTATTACGATATCGTCATGGATCAACTACCTTCAAATATCAAGACAAGAGCGTGTATTTATCAACGCACCTGATAACAATCGGACTCTTGCTGTTGCGGTGACTGCCGGTTGGTGGTGGATAATAAGCTCGATTGCGGGCCTAAAGTCGGCTGGCCGAGCGGCATCGTCGGCGCGCGTATGTTCACCATGTTGTTAATGTTGCTGGTAACGTTGCTGGTCTTGTCCATCTCCTCGAGCTCAGATGGATCAAACTTTCGTTTCTTTGGAAGCTTCTTGGCGCTGATAGTTGGGTCCGACAGGTCTCGTTGCGGTGGTGCTGGTGGCGGGGGTGGTTGTTTCGGAATAGATTTCTCTTCAATCGAAGCACTACCACCCCCGCCTGCCCCATATTGCCCGCCGCCGAGGCTATCTCGCTTGTCGTGCATCTCTGTGTGAGCAGTCAGCATTTTGGCCACCTCACGCTGCTCTGCAAGTTTACGATTATACTGTCCTTCTTGCTCTAATATCATCATCCAATATCATCATGGACGAAACAAATACCGTCGTGGGTTACAAAAGAGTTTCTCTTTTTTTCTCACGCAACAATGAACGTCGTACAAGCGGATGAGTATTACGGATGATGGACAATGATTGGAAAGTTTAGAAAACAATAGTGATAAGAGAGATAAAAATGCCGTGAGAGTAAAATGCGTCGTAGTAATCTTTGGGATTAGAGATAAAGCGACTGTCCTCTTTTCCGAAAAAGCCGATTTATATTACATTCCTTTTGACCTACTTACAGATACAATTATGCAAAACGATCTTTATCTCGTACTTTTTCGACTCGTGAATCTCCCCGCTCGCACTTAAACTTTGTCACTTGTATCGTTTTTTTTTTTCTTCCAAGTGTCGCAATTGACGCTTTAATAATGATATCGTTATGAAAACTGATAACGCTGATAAAATGTTACATACGTACAAGATGTGTGCACACGCACAAACATGCGCACGTACGCGCGCGCGCGTGTGTGTGTGTGTGTGTGTGTGTGTGTGTGTGTAACCCGTATATAATGAAAATCCTGTCTTTGATAAAAAAGCAGCGTACAATAAAGAAAAAGAAGAAAAAAGAAACGAAGGAGAAATCGACGAGCACCACCTGAACGCAGGTTGCAAATCACAGAATCACACTTCCGATATCGCCGAAGACACGTCCAACACTAAGGACAATACCAAGATAGAACCCAAGCTGGCCGCGCCATGTGGTGACGCAATGTCGTCGTAGTCACTCCGAATCTTTCTCAAGGATGCAGAGGAAACCATGACGTATCACTTTTCAGCGATATCTACGGTCCAGCGTTAGCAAGGAACTTGCAACTGTGCTCAGGCTCTCCCCGTTACACGTTGGGGGCTGCTCTCTTCTGCCTCAACGACGTGCCGTGTACAAGATATACTCACAGTCCGTACAGTCGAGAGGAGGCTGCGTGCTGAAATGTGGCGAGTTGTAGCTGGGAGGGTGGTGACACCGGCTGGGTGCATACCTCAGCACCCGGCTGTCGGGAACAGGATGCGTCGAGTCTGGGCTCTCTCGTCTTTGTCTCTCTTGCGACGGGGCTGCTGTCGTACCCTCTCCCAACTCCAATTCTTCTTCCCAGCCCCAACTGCCGAGCATCCTCCTCCGAAAATTCTCTTTTTAGGCAAACACTCGTCTCCTCTTTAATTGTTTCGCGTCTCCACTGAATGTTCTGAAAAGAAAGACGTCGCTTTAGCTCTCTCTCTCTCTCTCTCTCTCTCTCCCTCTCTCTCTCTCTCTCTCTCTCTCTCTCTCTCCCTCGGCTCGCCTCGCTCGGTCGGCTCAAGTCTCTCGCCCCCTCTGTCCCTTCATCCTCACCATCCCCTCTATCTCTGGCTATCCATTCTTCCCAGTCGCTTCTTTTCGGGAGATTTTGGATAACCACTACACGCGCGCGGGAATATTACGAACCGTGGCGGTTGTGCCTCGTCAAATTCGTTGACTCATCCCAGTAAGTTCAGAGGAGAGAGATTATCTGCTTTGTTTACCGAAAGTCTATTACAATACACTCTCGGACATCCGAGTTTCAAAGTTGTTAAAAAAAGGATAAAAAGAAAAGAAAAAGAAAAAAGCAAAAAATAAAAAAAGGAGAGAGAGAGAGAGAGAGAAAATTACAGCGCACAAGATTTCGACGAGGCTAATTTTTATTGCTAAGCAACCAAACCGCAAGACTCCGACTGCTATAATCGTCGACTAGTAGTGTGTCTAATCGCTGTCACGGATCGTGAATAAAAGAACGAAACATGCGAAGCACAATGAGGAAAAAAACGAAGAGGCGACGGTAGTCTCGAGGTAAGGCAAGACAAAAGCAATTTCGCGATCGTGCATCGCGGAAATCATGCGTGACTGCGGCCAGGTGAGACCGCTGCTTCGATTGCCACGGAGACAACTAGTAGTCTCACAGGTCGACTACTAGAACTACTAGAACTACGACCGACGCGCAAGGAGCACTTGGGTACTCGTAAAATGCAAACCGAGACGTTCGCACGGCTTTTCCGTTGCTCTTTCGGGATAAGCACGATTGTTTTGAAAAACTTGGAAACTGTTGACTCGGGGGCGTTTAGTTTACTTTAGTTTACTTCGTCGTCGTTTATCACGTTCGCTTCTACCATAACGAAAACATTTCTCGCGTAGCAATGATCAAGATAGTTTCCGACTTTAAATAGCCTTTAATGAAGTTCTTTTTCTCAATCGCTCTCCCCCCTTTTTTTTTTCTTCAATTCAGTTTTGAAGAAAAGCTATTCCTCCAACAAAAACTGAACTAAGGAGGCCTTAAAGTACCTACATTTCTCACCGGTAGAATAGCTTTTGTCTGAAAAATGACAGTCCTTTACTCGAAACTGACCTGAAAAGGAACCTCTATTCAAGATTGCCCTGCGTTCAAAACTACCCTCGGCCCTCGCATACAAACACGCAGAGGTCTGTGGTCAAACACTTTGGCCTTACGATTCTGTATTCAGCTGCTAAGTTAAAACATAAGGGTTAAAAAAGTCGGAATAACTGCTCGGGTAAAATGACAATTCGAACGGACGAAAAACCTGAGCGTAGTCGCTCAAGCATTATTATATTGCGCACTCGAGGTTCCGATAATCAACGACCTTCGACTGACTCGAAATTACCGAGATCGCTAGTCGTTGCGTAGATACAGTTTGGCAAAATCAGAACACGCCTATCTAATCTCATTTACAGTCTCAGCACTTGCTGCTTCTTCCTCTCTTTAATCTTTCCATAAAAAAAAAAAAAAAAAAAAAAAAAAAAAAAAAAAAAAATGATCTCTCCCACGTCTGCGTTCAGTGCAAAATCCCGCCTGACAAATTTGTTCATAACCGTGGCACGAGTCAACGAACATTCGCGGAACAGGAAGAAACCGATGAGAACTTGGCGGATGGGAAAAAGGTGCAACCGATCTCGCACGCTCCGCGCGGAGAATCGGTCCGGGAGGAAAGGGAGCGCGCGCGCACGTGCGAAGCAAGTTCACATGAGAGACGAAGAAGAGAGAGTAGTCGATCGCCTATTTCACGCGACACGTAGCGAAGCCGAATAAAGAGAAGGAAGAAAGGGAACTCGACAGACGAGATAAAGGATGTCGCCCCCCAAGAGTTAACGAGAAAGACGAGACGGGCCACGTCTGGCCGTCACGTGTAAAGTGCTACTGAGAATTCCAATCGATTACTATCTTTCAGCTTCATCCTGTGCTCTACATCTCCCCGAAAAAGAGAGAGAGAGAGAGAGAGAGAGAGAGAGAGAGAGACTATCCAATGACGTTTGAGAAATAAGGGCCCCTCGAAGACAATCGGATCGTAACCACCGTTTAACGCACTTTATTTCCTGCGGCACGAAATACGCGTTTCGTCCCCGAAGAAAATACATTCTTTCTTCCTTCCCTCTTTCTCCTTTTTCTCCCCCTCTCTCTCTCTTTCGCTCCGTTTCGTGCCCGACCGATAGCACAAGGGACCAAGGGGGAATGCATCGAGCATATTGCTCCCTACTTCGAGTCTGACTCACGCGACTCGCCCAGCTCTCTCTTTCTCTCGCTCGCCTTTACCCGAGAGAGAATCCGCCATTGTATCGCGTCCGTTCGCTCGTTGCTGCTATCTGTTCCCCGCGTCTCCCTCCTACTCCTCCCTCTCCCGGCCCGCTCCCTCCCGACGTTTCCCTCTAGCGCCCTTTCACGAGAGCGGGTTTCCCCGCGGGTGTAACACGTACACACAGGTATACACACGCGCGAGGGTGGACGATGAGACCAAACTCCGAGTCCTCGCGAGACATCAGTAACCGGAGATAAGGTGGCTGGGCGACTCGCGGCCGATAAGACCGAGGATGAAGAATCGACCCAACACGCAGGATGTCTATTAACGATGGATATATTTCAGTCCGCGGCACAGTCGCCGTTAATTTTGTGTATCGCATTTCATGAGCGACCCAATGATGTTTGATGGTGGTAGTGGCGGTGGTGATGATGGAGGAGGAGGAGGTGCTGGCGGTGGTGGTAGTGTCGTTATCGATCTCGCGTTTTATATTTCATGGTGCTGTTACGCCGTTAATTTCATATTCTGCACTTTAAAACGTTAACCCGACGTTATACGTGGTAACCGAACAAACTGTGTATGTGTGGTGTGTGTATATATGTATATGTATATGTGAGAGAGAGAGAGAGAGAGAGGGAGAGAGAGAGCTCGGGAATGTCTCGTATTCCGCGCGGTGCTTCACTTACCTGCGAATTTTACGCTTCGTGTTTCCCGCGTAACGCGATTGCCATTAATTTGACGTTTCACGTCGCGCGACGCGCGGTTAACATTGATTTGATATCTCGTGATAGCTCGTGTAGTGGTGGTGTGCGCGAGCGTCGTTAATAAAGCCCGTGACACCGCGTCCTGTCGTTCCTACTGAAACGAACGCGGAGGAAATGAAGAGAGAGAGAGAGAGAGAGAGAGAGAGAGAGAAAGGGAGAGAGAGAAAGAGGAGGGCGAGGAAGAGGAGCCCGCAGCGTCCTCCAGTCACCAGGTGTCATCGCGTTTACGACCTTACCACCGGGAGGGGGGTGGGCGGCCGGAAACGGGACTATCCCGGAGGACAGAGTCAGTCCGACGACTGACTCCGTCATCGTGCAGGTGCCACTCAATCGGAACGCGCGCGCGTTCGTTATCCCCCGGAGCTGTTCGCTACGTCGCCGGAGGGTTCTGCTTTCAGAGACACACACCAGCGGTGAGACGGGAGGAAGAACCGTGTATCGGGCTGTCCGCGGCAGAACCTGTAGCACGACGATGGCCGAGGAAACGGCGAAGCGATACCCTCGGGTACCAATACCACCCACGATTCTCGTCATTCAACGCCGGAGCGGAGCCTTCTCTCTGAGAGCTTTTCTTCTAACGGATCTTAGCAACTCGTAACCGATATACCTGCGCGAGAGAGTCTCCGCTCCGCCTTTCTCGTCTCTCTCGCCTCCTCGTCCTTCCCCGCCGGTCCTTCCTCCCGCTCGTCTCGTGCATTTTCAATGAAGACCGACCGGCGAAATGGCGACGCAGACTTTGTGAGCGAGAGCGGTCTGTCGACCCGATGAGGATGAGGAGCGCGACAATACGACGCGAATCTGATGATGAAAGGAGGTCGTCCCGAGACGAGGGTATGTCCTCGGGATGGGGCGACACGTAAATCAGGTAAATCAGAAGCGGCGGTGATGCTGACGCGCCGGTGGTTGAGGTATTATGCAGCGGCAGGTTGGGAGAGATGCAGGATAAAGGGATGGCTTGAGCATTTGGATTTGCGACGGTAACATAATCTCGCGCGCTCCTTCTTTAACGTTTCCACTTGCCGCCCCGCGCACCGTTACAAGTCGTTGGACGCCGACAAACATCGCCGGGTACCTGCTGCCACCCGGGCGCCACCGAGAGATAGACGACGATGCTCCCCCTTTTGACGAGTGAAAATCCCAACGGGTATTATTCCTGGCGGGGTATTAACGAGCCTGAGCATTATTGGCGATACAAAGTTATTTTAGGCGCTTGTGATCCCGCAGGACCCTCTGAGCGTTGCCGGATTTCTCGACCAATAGGATATTCGAGAGCACTCGGGACTTTTGCGACAGCATTTGAGGCGGTTGTGCGGAATTTGAGTTGACCTCTCTTTCTTCTTAATGAGACTAAGATGTAATCCTCGACGTATAGAACAGGAAATATTTCTTTCCAACGGAATAAAGGGCGACAAAGAGTCCCCTAAATTTATTTGAGAAATCGATTCGAGTCTAAAAGGAATAACTACTTGTCGCGCGTCAAGCGGTGTCGGATGAATACGATTAGTACGCGAGCGAGCGCGCGCGTACACACACACACACACACACACACACACAAACGTATCTCTGTATAATTAAACTAATTATGACGTTGCGAGAAAAGTGGGTCGCCTCGATAAAAATACGCTGATTTAAAATGACAACGACGTCTTCTCCGTGCTTCATCTGCAACGTCATATCCTGACTCCCGCGGCTGATGCCTTTAACTTTGACAAGAAGAAAAAGAAAAATGCATCGAAGTGCATGAAACGATATCTCTTTGAAAATTCGATTATCAAGTAATTTTACCGAGACGGAACTTAAAAACGAGTCTCTCTCTCTCTCTCTTCTCTCTCGTGCGCCGAGCGTCAGATATTTAACGCTAAATTAGCACACTTCGGAGG